GTATATTCAACACCTATTGAGTGCACTTGATTAAAATCTTGATGTGCATATAGATCCTTCTTCTTGACTTTTTATTAATGATGTAGACTGATTTAGTTCTGAAGTACCATATAAAGTTTCGGTTTATGTAATCAATTAGTCGAGACTTGGATGTTGTATATTGATACCTTCAAGGTATGATAGCCATGCATCTCTATTATTATAAAACACTCAAGATTATATAGGTATATGAAGAGGATCGTCTGCATGAGAAGTCGAAGTAATTTGTCTATTATTGACTTCAACGATCATGAACCTGGTCAATAGCTTGGTATGCAACGAGAAAATTACAAGTGTCGCACTTAACAGGGGGAGTAACTCTCGCTGTACTTTTTTTTCTTTGATTGAGGTTTTGTCCCAATGGTTTCTCCTGACAAGGTTTTTAACGAGGCAGCGTCACATTCGAAAATGTACTCTTTTTCCTTCACTAGGGTTTTATCCCAAAAGGTTTTTAAGGTTTAACAAGGCATTGTTCCGCAACGATGGACATTCAAAGGGGGGGTGTTATGGAAAAATTTGATTAGAATGAATGTCCACATTGATATGTATTATTGTATTCACAATGAAGGAGATATGATTCTGTAATATTTAGCATTAATGATAGGTGATTTATTTTCCATAATTTGATTTCCTACTTCTTATATAAATAAAGAGCCCATTCATCCTTCAAAACACGTCTGAATACAAGTCTCTTATCTTTCTTTACTCTCTTATGTCTTTCTTGTTCTTATACTTAGTTTCATATTGTCAGTTTAGTATTAATTTCGTAACATTTATTATTATTATTATTATTATTATTATTATTATTATTATTATTTGCATATTGCAGGGTATCCACCAAATAATGAGACGATCTTTAAGACGACTACATAAAGCCTTTAGATTGCATCTCCGGTTATATGATCAAGCGTAATTGGAGAATTGAATTAATCATTCTCAACGATTGCATGAGAATATATTGTGCTTTATATGTATTCGAGTCTTTAGCAATTAATTGTAGTCAATTTCATAACCAGAATCAAAGTGGTAGCCAGAGAGAAAGAAACGGATATTGGTAGGTAGCTTCTCATAATTTTTAACTTACAATAACGACATGGTGAAGAAGTCGATCAAATGGTATGAAAAGATTCTTTCACCAATTGGTTGACTCTACCTAATCAAACTCTATAAGACATCGAAAAACAACAATATGAGGGAACCCAAATTAAAATTAAAAGGGTCATGCGCTTAAAAATTACCAACGAAGATAATGTCAACCTATCTCTCTTTCAACTTAAACACTCCCCCAACCTGTTTAGAGTTTAATTTAGCATTATAATTTTTCCGTTTCATAAAAAATAATTTATATTCTTTTACCGTTTCAATTTCAATAAAATAAAATGTTTTTAAAGACAAACGAAATACTATCATTTAGTTCAATCAACCGAAATATATTAAAATGAAATGATAAGAGTTAGAAACGAAGGTCAGATGTGTGTAGAGAATAGAGAGAGTTTCATGTGGACTAATGGCACCACTCATTCATTTGCAGGGATGGCTTTGTGACGGTCGGCACGTGTTAGTGTGTGCAATTGCGCGTCGGTCAGGTTGGAAACTGACATTAATAATACTAATGAATTAATGATGATACGAGTAGAAGAAATGAAAAGCAGCTAGCCTTTTCCAAAACTAATTTCGAGACCTTATTTTATTCAAAATCAAATTGTCCCATTGGATTCCTTAAAGAAAATGCTCCTCCAAAGTCAACCCACCCCGGCGCCCTAAAACAATTCCACCCAACCTAGATTGCTACAATGTGTCACTTTGTCCGTCCCATTTTGATTATTTGATTTATGGTATTTTTGTATTAATATAATGAATTAGATTATTGAATTAGACGAAGCAACTACGGACTTAATACTTCTTAGCTAGCTTCGATGTATATATCCAATTGAGTTCATTACCACAGAACATATTGTTGATGGCCTGGTTGTTAATTCATGAGGAGATCTCTCATTTCTGCATAATCAAAGGGTCTTTAAGTGGTCCATGATTAATTTATGTGTGCACATAATGGAGATTGTAGATGATGCATTAATTGTACTTGCGTGATGGAGAATCTAACATAATTCCGGGTAGAATTTTCCTTTCTTCACCGGTTGTAATTTCAAACTTGCATTGCGAAAATTTACTTGCGATGAGTGGAAAAAGAATTCCAAAAACCTTCATTAGATGGATTTGTAGACTGGTAGACCCCTTATTATTCACTGAAATTTTTTCCCTCTATGTTAGGATCAGTTTCCCTAATACAGCTTACTTTATTTCAATTCGTATTATATTAGATTATCGAAAATTAATTTGTTACGAAATTAATTTTTCTCCTAATACAAATTTCTATATTTTCAGTGTTTTAACTTCAGATCTTCCAACAAAACTAGCCATTAAAAAAGTAGTACAATTAATGTGTTCATGCCAAATAAATTATGTCACGGGATCGGTTCCAAAAGAGGAAAAAATGAAAGAACAAGAAAACATTGGAAAATTTTTATGGTTTTGTTGGGTTGACTAGTCGGAGGACACGTTCCTTGTACAATACTCAAAACAGTGTGTTAAAGGTGATGCAAGAAAGGGCAATGGAGTCAATTCAACGCACAAATATTTTTCATATTTTAATTTCCAACTCTGATTTATATATAGACCACTGGTTTCCCTCTGAATTGATGACTAATCTATAGTAAAATTGGGCTCATTCTTTCATTTCTGCAGCCTCCTGCATTAATGAACATAGCACCTCTTTTTATCATATATAACACGCAAAAACAACTTCCAACTTCAAACTGGCCATTAGTTCTTCATTTCCTCTATTCTGCTCCAATTCATACATATTTTTTTTGAAGTATGGCAGTCCAATATTCATCAGTTTCAGCCTCATCAATCTTGTTCATCATCATGGTAATCATTAGTCTCAGCCAATTCTCGGATTGTCGAAACATCCCGGAATTCAGCTCCGGAAACAGAGTCCAGAGACTACTCCAATCTGATCAGACCCGGAATAGTTTCAACATACCAGCTCCGGCTCATGATCAAGTTCCGTCCAAAAAGGGAAAGTATCCCGATGATGGTTTTCGAGTATCGGATAGAGTCGTCCCCGGAGGGCCAAACCCTCTTCATAATTGAATCGGTACATCAAAAACCACTGATGAAGTTTTGCAGTTCTTAGTAAAAATATATATATACTTTTGATTCTTTTTTTTTTTTTTCCCTTCTGGTTCTTTTGTTCATGTGTAAATGTATACAAGTTAGTACTTAGTATAGATTATAGAAGTTTGTAGAATTCAATATTTTTTCTTCCTGTTTTTTGTAAGATTGCATACAGATAATGTACTCTTCTTTGTACCATCTCTGCGTCCTCTCCGTAAACCAGACAAAAAGATGTATACTTGATACACTTGAATTAGAATTATTGCTTACTCATTTTGATTCAGTTGTTCTTGTTTGGAGCTCTTCAGTACTGTCTTGTTTTGGTTCAATTTGGGAGGCAAAGATCAATTCAATTTCAAAGAAGTAAAGATTTCACAGAATGCAAGAAAATCTTTGATGATGTAAATGTATGACCAATTGTGGCATTGTTACAGACTACAGTTGTCTATTTATGACAAGAAATCAATAGGAAAAACTAACACAGCAACAGTGTTGTGTGATGTGACACAAACACAATCCACTAATCCAGCATGTAACATAAACAGGGCTTTGATCGCAACTCGACAAATGTAATTTATTAACGAATAAACACGAAACACGATACGATTAATGCATCTAATCCATGAGAGTTAAGGTGGAAAATCAATGAACGGTACTCCGTATCAACAGTTGCATTTTTTTATTTATTTTTTAATGCCAAGAAGACAGATTGGGGTATATGCTGCAATAAAGGCACCTACTTATTCAGATTGGCTTATTCACCGACTCTGTTAAGTAAGTTTCTGCAAATATAAATCAAAGCCCAACATGTCCAAACACCAATAACTTTACTTTCATCAAGTCAATGGAAAAAGATCAATCACCAATCACCATCCCAATATTTTAATCCCAATTACATTATGCACAATCATTTTAAATGTAAATATTCTTCCCTTTTTGTCATGTCATCCAGACTGGGACATATAATGAGCTTATCTTAATGTTGAAAACCCAGTAACTCTACAAAAGAAGGTATAGTTTGTGATTCATACGTGTTATGATTTTTTAAATCCCTTGGGTCAAACATAGTGTTTTGGATGGTTAATATATGAATTAATTACAAGGTTGAAATCAACAGCAACATGTCATTAATTAATAATTCATGACGAAGAAAAAGACTGAAAGCTGTAGTCAAAGAAGTCTATGGAACTCTATCAGGCTGACATGTGCAATGGACAGATCGTCAAAGACTAAAATACAATCATCATCTCAATTGCTTGTTTTACAATTTGATCTATATATATTTTGGGTATATTTTTGAGCCAAAAGAAAGACAATTCAATAATATTCATCCCTAGCAAAGACTTAATTGAAGGAAAATGTAAATTTATTAGAGAAAAGAACAAGATTAGGTGTAGAATTTTTAGAGTTTTGAACTATCCGAAGCACGGTTGCTTTCAGACACAAGATATCACCATTCCAAATTCCAGGACCCTGCAAGGATATCAGAAGACATTCACGTTATTGACTTCATACAAGCTGTCAAAACTGTGTGCGACAATTCTACAGAAACCTAATTAAGTAGGACTTTGAACTTCATGCATGCAAACAAACGTATATGTTCACACAGTTTAGGAATGCACGCAATGAACGAAGCTTCTTCAATTCTATTATGTCTGAGCAAACAAATGAGCATTAGCAATCCTATGTCTGAAACCCACATTAAAGATTTAAATGAAATGCTCTTTGAAAAGTCAGCTTTTGGAGAAAAGGCAGTTGTTGGAGTTGAACCTTAATAACAGCTACATAAGCTCTGTGCCCACAGGATCCACGGAAAAATGAAGAGAAATGGACTTTTCAGTAATGGGCTGAAACTTGGATTGCCAAATCTGCATTGACCAAAGAAAATGTATAAACTTCTCGTCCCTGCCTCTCGGGCGGTCTTGCAGGAGTTAAACTAATTCATACAATGCAGATTAAATTGCTAAAACGCAATCTCAAACTTGGTCTCTCTGACTGATGAGTTAGCAGTCATGACAAAAGATTTATTGCTTATCGTTTTCAGAATCAAAGAACTACTGAGCATAGAAAACTCCATAGGTAACCCCAACACTGAATGAAGATTAACCGACAAATCATTATGCAGCTGCGCTACATGCAATTTTCTCATAAAACCTGAAGTCCAAGTCTATATGCATCTTTATTAGAGTACTTTAAGATTCTTTCTCTTAAAGCTAGAAATGGCAAGATATCCAGTGTAATACAGCAATGTGAAGCAGATTTGTAGAGCTATGTTTTTAAGGATTTTCAAATTGAACAATGCTCACTGATAATAAAGAACAATCCATCATGAAAGATGCTGATCAATCAACTACTTACGTCATTATACTCAGAAGATTCAATGAACATCTCGAAGGCCTCGGCTGATAAAGAGCCAAGCAATGTAGTGAGTAAGCGAGTAACATAAGGAGGGAAATTTAGTTTATGTTTAAGAACATAAACAGGATCTTACATGATCGGAATCGTATTGCTATTGCATGAGAATAGCCCGAATTGTCAGGATTGAAGTTTGAACCTGAAAGCAGAGGAATTACAGCAGTATCTGTCATTCATAGACACAGGAAACTGGGATTTTTGGGAGTCAAATAGATCTTTGAGTTAAAGAGACTTCAACCAGTGTTTTAAGTAAACAAATAATAAAGCACATTCAACTCTATTGATTTATTAAAATCTGCCTAATAGGCTATAGGCAATGATGTCTAGTAATTAAATGCAGTTTCAGTGAAACTGCAACCAGGAAGAGCCACAATTAGTAAAATGGGAAAATACCTTTAGTAGCTTGAACAATCAAGGAAGGCAACTCTGTTGTCAGCTTTGCCAGGGCAGCCATTGCCTCTTCAGCTGGTCCCCCCAATGAGTTCTTATAAAATGCCATCAGAAGCAAAAACTCAACACCATAGTTGAACTCCTGCAAGGAAAAAAAAATTGACAAAGGTCGAATCAGAAATAGAAATGTGATGTATTCAGACACTTAACTTGAAAGAAGAAAATTTGGAAAGTAACCTCTTCTCTTTCAAGAAAAAGACCATATTTCCCCATTTGACAAACAAGTTGTTATGTAATCTATGAGATACTCTTCACTGGGATAGTAACTGTGCCATTTTAGCTAATGCACATAGATATCAAGCAATAAATATAAGTTTTCACCTCTCCTTTCCGGAAAATTGGCAAGATGTCATCTTCCACTTCAGATTCATAGTCCACATTTAAAATACCCTGTCAAACAGCTATGTGGAAAGATCAGAAAGAAATAACACATATAGTAAATGGGATTTTCTGTATAATAGCAGAAGACAATACGTGAAATGAAAAAAGAGTGTGTTGGTAATTACTTGTTAGGGCATACATGGCAGTGAGGAAACACATGTTTTGTAAGAACCCCAACATAGTTTGGGTTGTCATAGAACCGGGTTAGATCCTCCTTTTTCTGGAAGCGCATGAAGATAGCATGGGTATAGCTTGCATTCTCTTTATCAGATACACGACCTACAATCAGAGATGACAACTCATGGATGCATATAGGTTTTGTAAAGAATAGGAATACAAGACATAAAAGAAAATAACAAGATATGTGTGTCTGCATGCAGACTAACAAATAAGCAAACTAAAGCTGGATCATTTCTCTCAAAGAAAGACAGAATGATAACAGAGAACAGAACTGCACAATGTATGGCATTTTATCTTCCAAAAAAAATTGGAAACACTTGTTTATGTTAAGAACACAAATCCTAAAGATCTTCCACAAATATTTTCAATAACCAGATCATGGTTTCTGATAAAAATCCGTCAATGACCCATTTTCTCCTACTACCAAAAACCAAACAGGCGCCTTACAGGAATGACTGATGCATAAAGTCCAGTCAAACACAACATTACCGGCTACTATTGGTAGCATTCAAATGCATTCAACTGCGAACCAGAAACTTCAGGCTTAACAAAAATCATCACTAAAGTAAGTACATTATGAATGGTCCAAAGGATCACCTAGGGAAATAGCGACGATGCCACGCATGTGATATTGGGTGGTGTATAAGTAATCAAGCATATCTTTCTCCTGCTCATCAGAAAGATCATCTTTTGCTTTAATCAAGCATATATGTTCAACTACTTTTCTGCGAGGTGGAGAATAAGGAGAAAAAATTAAAACCACGAAGAGAATGCCGATGGCACAATTTCAATGTTAAATTAATAGTTATCCCTGTCAACCAAAATGCTACATTGTGGAAGATCAGCATCATCTAAACTATTCATGACACATAGTGATCTTCAAGGGATCAGTGAATCAACATTTCAACCGGCACAGATGCAATAACGATCTAACTCAATCTGGACATGATCAAAACAGACCACCATGCACAGAAAGTATAATAGGACACTTTGAAAATCTCCAAAAATCTACACTTTCATACAGGATTGAGAAGAACACTTCAGAATTTCAAAAAGGGAAGATAGCACTAAATGCAGCATAGAATGTTTTACATAAATCATCAAAGTAAAGACTAAGCCAGTCCACCAAGCATATAGATATATATAGTAATTTTCATATAAACATTATCCTATCATGGGCAATCCAAGCATCATTTAATTACACATATAGAAGAAGAAAAATTCGTGGAAAAGAACCTTCTTTGAGCCGTAACATTATTGCCATTCAGCCCCTCAGCAGCAGGAATTACAATTGCTTTGTTCTTCTTTCTCCAAGGAAGCAGATTTCTCCGGTGAATTTCACTAAACTGGGAAACTAATCCCAACAAAAAACAAAATTAAAATAAGGGAAGGAAATCAATGCTGCTTAAACAAAATTAAATAGACGAGCAAACCATGAGTTTACTCACCTTCCCGATTCCAATCCCGCTGAGAAGTTGAGAAGGGGTTAGAAATGAAGTGCTTATTCGAAACTAATGGGGATTTTGAATTGGTTAAGAAGGACATAATCGAAGGAGAAATTAGATTAGTGAGAGGTGGAGTTAGAAACAACATTGTTGCAGTCTGTTAGTCGTCACACTGGGAGACATTTTGGCTGGCAAACTGGGAAGTGAAGTAGTTTGTCTACAGATACTTTTGGTTTTAACGGGTGGACTAGGAAAAATCTCAATTAATTTATTGGAATTTATGGACTTGGCTTGACCACCTATTTTCTCCAGTGAAAAATATCAGTTTGTCAAGCCAGACTGTGAAGATATTGCTTTCAAACTTGTAATCTCAAGCATATACTCAATTCACTATATTCGCAGGTCCTCTTTATTATCGGTGTTAGAATCTTTAGTTATTTGGTCGAAAACAATGAATGCAACATTGAAAGCGACTTGCAATAGCAATTTCATGGTAGAAGAGCAGAAACATGCTCATCACATTAGGGCATCATACTCATTATACAAGAACCCTTTCATAACTTTGACCCAAACATCAAAATGGGTCAAATTATATCATTTAGGATTCAAATGACAAAAATGATTTCAAAATGCGCCAGGAGAAGATTAGGAACACTTCTGGCAAAGAGAATACAATTTGCTCCAAAAACTGTGATGTGCTTCCACGGTTATAAGCTTTTTTTTTACTGGAACAGGTGCATGAGGTGAGAGTTGGTAAGCTTGGTCCTCCTGCTGATTTCAAGCTTCTTCTTTTTAGTCTTGGGCTTGTTAGAAATTCCATGAACTTGTGCCATGGCCCTCCTCTTTGCAGTATTTGTTGCAGGTTTCATCCCATTCTTTTGTAGATCCTTCTCGATATCAAGCATTTCACCTGGTAATTCGACTCCTCGGAACAATTGCTTCAGGTCATTGTCCACCATAACGGTAACCTTGGGGTTATTTGGGTAGGCAATGTCATCACGGGAGTCGCAGTTTAATAGAAGCCAAATCTGACCTGAAGCCTTGAGTGACTGCAAAAGAACATAAAAATGGTCTATTAACACAAATTGTAACCTGACAAGAAAGGCAGAGCAAAGCCTACTGTCTTGACAAGCTACAGCACAAAATAAAAGTGGACTCATAAATATACTGCTACACCAATTTAAGATATCATATCCACAGCCATGATAAACTCAACCTATTCAAGTTTATAATAGAGAAAGAAGATGTCATGAAGAATAGGAACAAAGTAGGAATTCTTGTTTTGAAAACTTTACTAGTAAACTAGTCATAGGAATTCAACCAACGTTTGGACTGATAATTTCATACCTGCAAGTCTTGCATTACATTTGAGTATGAATCCTTAAGATCAACTGCAGCTATGCCCTCCTGGAACTTGCGAATCAATTCGAGGAGTTGATCCTTGTTTCTAACATCATGTGTTGGCTAAAACATAAAACACCAGATAATTATATCCACCAAAGATCTGAAGAATTATTAGAAGGCCTGAATTCTCCATAACTAAGGTGTACCTTATAAGAGAACCTCCGCCCATCATAATTCACCTTCGGGTTCTGCTTTAAACTGTCAAAGACAGCCTTATTTGCATTCACATCAACATAGCATTCTCGATTTATTTCTTCTGGATCCATAGCTTGTCTTCTCTGTATAAATAAATGATAATAAGATAACAAGTTGTAATACATATCAACCATTAGAAAGACAAAAGCAGACCAGAGAATGAATACTACCTCCAGTAGCAAATCAATCACACGTTTCATCTGTGCCCCCACAGGAGTTTTCCTTATATTGTTGATGTACTGAAGCCTCTCTATATCATTTGAAAATTTGGCAGGAGCCGAAGGAGTAGACATGCTGGAGGTTGTCGACTTCAGTGGTGTTCCTTTCAGATTTTGCTTTGCGATGCTTATTTGTATCGTCTGACATTTCTCTTGTTGTTTGTTGAACTTAAACAAACTTTCTTGCAATGATCCCATCTGAAGAAAACAACCAGCATTAACTATGAATGAATGATAATTTACTACAGAGAGGTTGTATTTATTCCAAGAAACATAGGAAAACCATATTTCAAACAAACTCATAGGTATCTTCAGATCAGAAGCTTCTCGAATAGATAACATCAGAACATGCAAAAGCTTAAAATGGAACACCACTCATGTGTCATTCGAGGATCAATCACATTTCAATTCAGCATTAATATAGTCCCTTCATAAAAGTATTTTTGGAACATGATCCTAACAATGATCATAAATGATGATGGTATCCAGCGCCCAATAAAACAGTTTTACAAGTTTGTGTTTAGTCAAAATAGAAACCAAAGAAGACTACAACTTAAGTTGAAAGAAACAAAAACACAAGGTAGGGTGAATCTGTGAGTGCACTTCCATTCATGAAGAAGAAAAAGTTTATGGAAAAATTTGGATAGACGAGAAGAGGATAGGAGATCTCTGAAAGCATTAACCTTAGCGCACCAGGATATTCCACAAGAACAAAGTAAAGGAACGTAAGATTTTGTGCAATGTTAAGACACAAGTAAGAAAGTACTCTTTCTATGAAGCAAAAACGTTTTATGACTTCCATTCTTATTCTCTCCACAAAGCTAATACTCCCTCCACACCGAAATTACTGGCCAATAATTTTGGTAAATTTAAAGATTGACCAAAGAGCTAGTGTAAAGTTTGGCTTTTTATGGAAGCATTTCAGAGTCTGTTCTAGTAGTGCGACTTCAGGTAACCTTTGAAGAGGGAGATGAATACTTTTTATAAAGAGGAATGATAGAGTTTAGCCTCAAATTTATTTTCAAGCCCATAAATTTTGATGGCAAATGTTCCAAATCCCAACCAAGTTCTAAAATGTCTCCAACACAAGAAGTGAAAAGAGAAAAGACTTACTCTACTTTATGAACCTGCACACTACAAAAACTCATGGCAATATCAGCCTATGGATTTCAGAAGGCTGTTTCCCAAGCCTCACACTTCCAGCCAAAAGAGCATTCATTACTTCATTTTGGATACATTAATTAAAATAACAAGGATGGCATCTTTGACTTTTAGTTTAAAAATAAAAGTAGAAAAATCAAGGTGGAAGAATTGAATTCACTGTAGTGTTCTTTATAGTTCAAAGGCAAACTTATTGGATCAAAACCCCGAACAGCAAACAAGAAAGAGCCACCGCCACCGATAAACCCTAAACTCCGCCACCTCCGACAACCCACCACCACTCTAGATCCTCCAAACTCATAATTATTATTACTACTAAGCATCAAGATTTCACATCCACAAATTAATTGAAGAAATATTCGACAATATATATAAGAGAACAGAACTATGTACAGGTGCTTCCGACAACCTCGTAATAGGCGACAGAAGACCAGTTCAATTCTCTATTCGTAGCGATAACCGGCTTTAATTGCTCGGAAATTTGATTCCCTTGTGGCGTCAGACCGGTGGCAGATCAAAGAAAACGCAGACGAAGCTAGGGTTCTATGACAGGGGATGATGGAGAAGGGGGGGAATCTGGTGATGTTGAATTCGAGGTGTATTTATAGACGGAAGAATGCCGAATCCTAGTATTTGAAGGAAGTTATATTGCCTAATGGGCCATCTTCTTAAGGCGGTTTTCTTTGAAGCCCAACTCAAGGTCTTATGGATAATTTTTATCGTAGCCCAACATTATATTAAATCGAAGAGTATACTGATGTAAATTGTAATACAGTAGTAAATTACTATTAGTTGATATCCAAGTTTCAAGGCCGCCAACAAAGTTGTGTTTAAAGCTTTTGAGTTTTGAGTTTTGACCATATTTAGTAGCAAAATATGAAAACGAGTTGGTAGTTCGAATAATAATCTTGTTAAAGCTTTATAAATATAATAATAATATATATCCTTTTTGGCTTTCAAATTTATAAACTTATTATGGATTCATTTCGTTGCCATTCCTTGTTTTACCTTTAAATCAAAAAGGATTGTTGATTTGTTGTCTTACCGACTGAATAACTATTTAGTTAATTTTTATTTTTTTGGAAAATCTTTCTCCAAAATAATAATGATAATTTTAAAATAATGATAATTTTAATGCTGTTTTTAGATTCATAATCACAAAAATTTTGTTCTCTCCACTCCAATATAAGAGTTTTTTTTTTATTAAACTAAATTAATTTAATAAGTATGACTCTTATTTCAAGGTAATAAAATAAGCACTTGTTTTTATTACGGATTTGTGAAAGTTTTGTGAACTTAACTCAAGTATATCATGTCATCCAGGGGGCGGTATAAGGGTTTTGGGAGCCTAAAGCGCGATTTTTAGTACTAACAAGATTAAAAGACAATTTGTATAAATCCAATCTCTTGAAAACTGGAATCTCAAATGACAAACCTGAAATAATTAAAATTTAGGAGTAGGTGTTACTTCGGATACTTGCATCATTATTCTCGGATGTTAAAAAAAAAAAGGATTCTTTAATTGTCACTTTCCATTATCAAGTATTAACAAGATTAAATATCATAAAAGAAAAATAAAAATGAAGTGAATATAAAAATGAAAAGGAACAAATTAACATACCAAAACCACTTTCATATCGCAGGAACACACAAAGCACTACAACTTCAATCTTCATTTTAGTATGTTAATCATTTTGGGGTTATATACATTGATCAAAAGACAAGCTACGCAATAATGAAATGTGAAAACAAGATTATCCTTGACTGTGAATCAGAATGAGGATTAATCAAAGATGTAGGAGAAAAGATTAGGAAGAATGTGGCAAACCAAAATGAGCATTTAAAAGAATATATAACAATAGCCGTTGCATTTATTTTTGTTTTGATTTTTTTTTTTTTTTTTTGGTTTTGATTTGGTGGTTGGGAAGATTAGTAGTGGGATTTGATTGTGGGATTTTTATTTTTTTTTGGGGGATAATTATCGAGATAATTATAGTACTTAATTAAAGCACCAAACAAAAAGGATATGTGTCAGCACCACAATAAAAATTTTCTCGTCAAAAGCCATTTTCAGTACAAAATCATTTTTGACACATGCCACTCTAACTAATCAGAAAAAAAAGATAGAATAGATAAATATATAAATCCCTTAATTATAGCTACATAAAAATATCTTAATTATATGTATATATTAATCCTTTAAAACAACAATATTTAGTTGATAAAATCAAATGTAAAGAAATTCCCTTAAATCAAGTGAAATACCAGCAATGTCTTCCTAATCCCTAATTTCAAAGAATCTCTTCCATTCCGCTCCTCTCTCACACCCGGGCCTTTAAATTAATTACTTAAAATCTGACATCAATTATCAATCTATCTATTTCTACAACAGAGAAAAAATAAGCTGTCATGAAAGAAATTTGATTTTTAAGGATAATTTTTTTATTCTTCTGTTGTAGATATTGGTTTATGATTTATGTAAACGCGGGCATAAGTTAACTGTTATAAATTAAATATTATAAATATGGACATAGATTTATGTGTAATAACTCACTTTCTGTCCTTTCAATCGATTTTTTATTCTTCTAATTTTTTTTCTTTTAAGAATGATTTGTATTTTTTATTTAATTAATTTAAAAATACAGGCGTTACCCCGGACATTTGCCCGGGGCAAACATCTAGTTTGGAGTTACAAAGTGAATGGGGTTCTTTTTTCCTAGAAATTTCGGTGGACTTTTTTTTTTTTACATAAAATTTATACATATATAATATATTCTTAAAATAATACAAAACATTAGAGGCCCCAAATCATTGTGGGATTTGGGGGAAGTTCCGTGATATTGGAGCTAAGTGGGTAGCTTTTTTTTTTTTTTTCGCAATTTCAGCAGTTTTTTTTTATATAAAATTTATATTTATAATAATATATAGGGCGAACTAGATTTTACCCCCCGAGTTTTGACCCTATCTACCATAAAACCCCCCGAGTTTTGGTAATACTATCATATACCCCCTTGACTCATAGTGAACTTACCAAATACTCCCTTAACATATACACATCATCATGAATTTTTTTTGTAAACGGTCAAAATTACCCTTCAATACATATTTTTTTAAATTATATTATAATCTTTTTAAAAATATATATCATAAATTAAGTTAAAAAAATATACTCCATATTAATCATTTTATATTAATGCACTTAGATAATAATTTTTTTTTTTAAAATAAAGTATGTTTATGTCTTTTGAAATTAAATAATCTTCATCAATTAAATTTTTTAAATATAACAAACTTACATCATTAATCATGGATTAACTTTCATTCATTAACTTATGTTATAATTAATTGTAAAAATTATAAATTAATTATTTTTCAATTTTCATGATAAAAAATACAAATTAAAAGAAAGTGAAAAAATAAAAGAAATAAAGTGTATGTAAACAATGGTTATTTTAATCATTTTAATGTTTAAACCCCATGTCTAATGGGTATATTATCAAAACTCAGGGAGATTATGATAGATGGAGTCAAAACTCGGGGAGGTTGATGCTCGGCTCTGATGTCATCATCATTCATCACAATTTATCCTATTTCCGATTCATTACTATTATTATTATTGTAGCTCTTACCAACATTCGTAATTCTGTACAGGATGAGTTCTCATTTGCATATCGAATCTTTTTCTTTTTATTTTACTCCTTCCATATCTCAATTCAAGTCATAAAATAAATTGTTAAATTATGTACTGAAGAAGTGTTTTTTATATGGCGGAACACAAAATAACGGCGGTTGTTTTCTTGTTTAAATTTTATTTATCGTGACTTTCAAAAAACGGTGCCAATAAAAATGATTTCATTTATTATCAGCCATATCATACACCACATTTCCTTGTTCTTTATTCAGCTTTTTCCTTGTCCTTTAAACTTCTTTATTCATTCATTGCCGCACTGTATGCTGTGTAATTGGAGTTTATTACCATATTCTTTACTATTATTATCCGTATTTGAGGTTGTAATAATGTGGTAATTTTCAAAAAGAGGTGGCAACCTCACTGAAAATGTTGTATATTTGTACGAGTATATGTATCTCTCTCCCAAATACTGCCAACAGATATACAGCACAGCAATGGCAACACGTGTTTTTCCCTAAATTCGAAACTCCCGTTTTTTTTTTTCCCCCGAAATCATAAATCTACCATGCTCATTTAAGATTTTAACCCAAAGGACCCATTTTCTTAATCAAGTTTTTTTGGGTGTCTTATGTTTGACTCTTCTCTCAAAAACAAAGACAAAAGAAACCCAGAAAGAACTATGAACTTGTGTTTACATCTGCTGTGTTAGCTGGTTAGATAAATTGTATGAGGGAAACTGAAATCCAAGTTAGAAAGAGCTGGGAAGTTATCAATTCTCCTACTTTCTTCAACTTTTGGTCTTTCTCAATCTGTTTTGTTGCAAATTGCCATTGTCTGAGGAATGGTTTTTGAGAGTTCCGTTGAGGAGCTTCCTCCTGGGTGGAAGGAGCAAGTTAAGGTTTATTCAAGTGGACGAAAGGTTAAGGTAATTCAGCTTCTTGCTTTCATACTTTATTGGGTTTTCTTTTGGATTTTTTTCCTTTTTCCCAGGAATTGGTGGTTTTTGGTAGTAATCCTGGAGCTTTTTAGAGTTGGGTTGTTATTTATGTTGGTTAAAGTTCTTGCATGTCTAGATTAATTTGCTAAAAATGCTATCTTGAATCAGTCGGTTTCACTGTAATGTAGATTAATAATTGCTGACATACATAGGTTGGAAAATTAGATTACTTGTGTTTGAAAACTTTAGGAGTGGTTCTTGGGGGGTTGGAGAAGAGTTTTTCTTTGAGTAGGCATAAATTTGAACAACAAAAGCTTAATTATTGGACTTGAGCCAAATGAAATTACTCAATTGTATCTGATACCACTGTTGCTCAAAGTAAGAAATTTTTAGTTTCAACTTAGTGATTGGGTAGGTCTAAATCTCCCTTTGTGCCCTGACTTCCCAGAAGACACAATTGATCCCTGGGTTTCGACCTTTTTCATTGAGCATCCAAAGTAGCCCCTTTTAATCTAACTGCTCTTTGGGTGGTTCCATTGCTTCCTTTCTCTCCCCCTGTGAGATCCTACTTGCTGCATTTTACAGTTGTCATAATCAAGATTATCCTCTGGCACTGATTAAAACATTGAAGTTTGTGGCATGCACTAGCCGAGACAAGATAAAAGGTTGGTCTCCTTAATTTATGAATGCAGTGAATAGAGATATGAACTCGGACCTTTGTCTCTTTGCTCCTGTTCTGTTGAGTTTGGAAATCTTTAGACCATGTTCAACTGGATTTGTCTCGAACTCCTTGGCGTTTGATTGCATCAGTCACATAGTCAAGTTCAATATATATTCACACATCGATAATACTTCTTTCAGAGTTTTTGAAAATACATCTTTATCTTGCAGTGTTATACTCATCAGGAGAAGGGACTAAAGTTATACTCCAAAACAGAAGTCCTTTCATATGATAAAATGCGGTCTAGTGAAGGAACTTTGCAGTTAGTGACTGAACAAAAACAGGAAAGCAGTCCTTCCAAGAGTAAAGATGATCCAGTGAGTGAAAATTTATTGCTTATTTACTGTATCTGTTCAATTTCTTAGATGAGAACCGTTGTAATTATGGTCACAGATTGCAGTGGATGATGAACTTCTTCCTGAATGGTTGCCCCGTGGATGGATGGTGGACCCCAGGTCTAGAAAAAATGGCCCGTCGGCTGGATCCACTTACAAGGTACTTGAAACATTACCTTTCTGAGCATTTTGCCTGTTCAGTACCTTTAAAATTTGCTATATTTTCCCTCCTAATTTGATGTCTTGCTTACATTGAGATAATTCCTCGGGTGCTATTCAGTTAGAAGTTAAGTCACATGCAAAAAGGTGTTGTCATTTGCCGTTGGAAAATTCAGCATTTGAGATTTGGGGTCTGTGCCATGATGTTTGGATAATATGCTGAGAAGTTTCGTATGTTGTTAGTCTACGAAGTATTGCTACCCTTAGAATGCTGCATATCATCTGTTCAGGTTTTTTAGGATGAATGTATTCACTTTGATATAGGTTTGATATGCTTTAAAGTTTTTATCCTGGTGACTGAAGAAAGAACTGCTACTTCCATAACGCATAATAAATCATATGTCCTGTTGTCCATATTACAGATTTATGTTGAGCTGAAAACTGGACGCAAATTTAGATCAAAGACTCAGGTGATGAAGTACCTGGAAAGTGTTGGTAGCAATTCCACACCAAAAAATCAAAAGCAAGTAAGTCGTCGCTCATTTGTACTTTGACTTGCTCATTCTTCTCCGCTTCTCCTTCTATTATTTTTTGGCAAGTATTGAAAAAGAGGTTCCATGTTTGAGTTTTGACATACATCTTCACTCTCGAGGGAATTCTTATGGATCCATCAAGACATCTCTTATCTTAGTTTTTATCTTCCTTCCTCTGCTTGTGTCCTGGTCACTGAATTTTTAGTATTAGTCTCCTCTGCTTTACAGCGTTACCAAAGATCAACCCACAGTTGTATTTTCAACTTCTGTTCTTATTGGGATTCTATATCTACATGTCCATTACATATGTTTTTTCATGTAGTTCTCCTTTAGTTATGAGCCAATTATTCTAGAGTTCACACTGGTTCCTTAAGTTTGGTCTCTGTCAGGTAGGTAATGGTTATAAATGCTTGAAGCAAGATGCATTGCAGGATCCTCAGCCTATGGTGGACAAGAGTATTATAACGGGTGAAAACAACAATCTGGTTGTTGGGATTACATTTGAGGTTAATCTTGTTCGATGTTTGTGTACATCTGACTGATATTTTTGTGGTATAGTGCAAAAAATGGAAGATTTACATTTGGTTTCTGTGTCAGGAATTTAGTGCTGATAAATATTTAACTCAAGATGCAGCACCAAATCGTCAGCCTCTGGTGGACAATAGTGTTATATCTGGGAAGGATGACAATGACATGGTCAAAATGGCTTTGCAGGTTGATATTATATGACATGCTGCATTGACTTACAGTTAGTTTTGTGCTTTAGATGTAATCAGAAATCTAATATCTGAAAGTTTGATTATAAGGTTGTGGATAGAAGTTCTGTGCTAGATGGTTTTCCTCCCGGATGGGTGAAAGAGTCTAGACCAAGAAAGATGGATTCCAGAAAGGACCCGGTATGTGGTTTCTTCCGTGTGTGCATGTTGTCAATCTGTAATTGTTCAATGGAATAGTTCATAACTCAAGCCCCCCTCTGCATAAGAATCGACAGAGCTGTGTTTGTGGTTCATTTCTTCAGTGTCTTTGTCATGCACTGCTTTTATGTTAATTTGGCTTACAAAGGCTGAATTATTTCAATAGTAGTAATCTTTTACCCTTATATTACAGTATTACATTGATCCTATAAGTGGATATGAATTTCGGTCCAAAATGGATGCTCGACGCTACCTGGAGACGGGAGACATTCGTAGCTGTAGAATAAAACCAAGGAAAAGCGTAGTGAAGTTTGAGGATGACGCATCTGTAAGTGTGCTTTTGGCGGTCTTTATATTCATTGTCTAAGTTGAAATTTCTAATGTTTTCTTTTCCTCCATGGTGTAATCCTGTCATGATAGCATGGTTTACTGGAAGTGCCTGTATTTCTGATATAAGGATGGTAGATGGCTTGCTCTTTGTTTGAAGGCAATTGTATTTAAAATGTATTTTGTGACTAGCAAAAGATTTCATAAGTTCAGGATCCCTGCAAAAGCTTGCGGGAAGCGCTTAAGAAGCCTAGTGAAACGGAGGCAAACTTTTTTGTTATTGTTCAACAATCAAATTGGCTCTTGTTCTTTATGAATTTTCTTAAATGCTACTGAAAGGAGATTTAGATAATCTGTTTTAGCAGAGTGCTACGATTGTGTTCTTGTCCAAAAAGAATCCGTTTTTTGATGTTTTGCAAATTATTCAGTGGGCAATTCATTTTTCTTTGTGTTTAAATTTTACAAAAGATGTTATGCTTTTCTGTGACTGAAACTATTATATATTGTAAATGGCTCTGAGAGAAATGTGTCTTTTCCTCATTTTACAGGCTCCAAAAACTGATAGCTTGAACATAGACCCAATAGCTATTGATTATCATGGAGCACTCTCCGGTTCTCCAACTGCTGTCTTGCAAAGCTCAAATCTGTCAGAGGCTAAAAAGTCCAAGGAAAGAGAGACCTATTCTATTTCTACTAGCCCCAGTTCAACGACAATGGATGCAAATGAAGACAAGAAGTTGACTTGTGAGGTACTTGAATGTTGTGGTTCTGAGCATAGCTCTGAAGCAAATATCAAAGGCTCTAACCCATATGCGAAGCTCAATGATGATAGAGCTGTATCCATCACAACCAATGCTGAGTTGCAGGACCAGAAACCTGCAGAAGATCAGTTGGACATAAAACCACCGGATAACTTGGCAAAATCTAAGAAGAGGAAATCAAGGAACATCCCTGCTCGGTCTTCAAAAAGGCTATCAGGTCAAGAACCTGATATTCAGCCAATGATGCTTTCTAGTGGAAGAGTTCTACGGGCTGCCAGTAAGAAGTCTCAGAAGGAGGTTAACGCTTCAGTCAAGGAACAAAAAGCTGCAGCTGACGGATTGCCACATCCGCTGGACATCAATGTGAAAAGCGAGCTCCCTGCAGATCCTCGATTTTCTTGTACTTCTTCACTCGAAACAGAGATCCGATGCAATATTGAAAAACCTTTGGTGTGCCAGGTTGTCCCAGAGCCACCAGATCTTCCGTCTTCTTGCAAAGTTGCTTCACTACAAACAGATATGCGAAACAATAATAACAAACCTTATCTGGGCCAGGATGTTCCAGATCGAGCAGTGGGGCAACCCGGGGAAGAGAACCCCGGGTCTCAAGATTGGTATCCGTTTGGAGACTCTTTGTCTGATCCATGCTATGAATTTGCATTCAAGACCCTAACAGGTGAAATACCACTCGAGGAAACGCTGGCCTTCCATAACCTTTTCCAACAATCTTCTGAAGGGTCCTGTACTCAAGGGCGGCTTAATGTGGGGCTAACAGAAATTGACACGACTCCCTTGTTCCAGAATGATGTGCCTTACCAACCGCACCCTGTCCAGAATAATTTACCCTCAGGCCAGCAGCCATGTAACACAAATGTGACTTTATCAAGCTGCGCTACGTTTGGTAGTCAGCAATCTGGCTTGGAGGCAAGGAGAAAGGACTATAAGACTAAGGTCAATTCTTAATTGCTCCTCGTACAGCTAGAACAAGGAATGCTTTGTTAGAAATACTCTTGCTTTATGAAGGCAAAGTAGCTGCTTGAACACATTTGTTGAACTAGTAGTTCTGTGCATTGACCTATCACATCTTTTGTATGGTATATAGTGGTCAATCATCTATACTTCCTGAACAACTAGGTTAGATGTTTCGGGCATTTGTAATCTTCTTGATTGACTGATAACTTTCATATAAATCAGTGTGAAAAGCCCAACAGAATCCTCTCTCTGATTTTTTTTTTCCAGTTATGATAACTACTGGTTGGAGACCTTTGTTATTAGCTACCTTATCTGTTACTGATTTACAAAACATTTCATGGTTGGACTTAGTCTATGAAAGAATGAAAGAATCGGGATTGATCCACAGGTTTCTTTTATTAAGGTTATACCAGGAGATTGGAAAGATAGTAGTAACATTCATTCAACCAGGAAAAGATCCAAATATTCGAACTTTGATTTACAGATGGTACAGAAAAATGAACTCAACACCAACATGAGTCTTTTCATAGGGAAAATCAATACAACCAAAAGAACGAAATGCAGGATAAGTTTCCTATTTCATCCGTTCTGTGTGTTCTCATCAGATCAGTGCCATCAGGCTAATGAAGATGACTGCAAAATCATTCAAGTGCGGACTCTTTCCAGCCACCATAGCTCTCTTCCTGGGCGCTGTTTTCGTCTATATCCTGTGAGAAAGTAAACATTGACAACAGGAAGGCATGAAGCAAAAAGTCAGTCAACTGATTTCGGAGATGTTCTATGACATATTCAGTAATCATTTGCAGGTTGTTTAAGTTTAATCATCCAAGGCAGGGCCTGATGAACTTACCTGAGGAGTAAAAGTGAGGCCCACTCGAATCTCGCCTTTGAATTCTTCATCTTTGACAACAGAGTATGTTGTGACAGGAATGCTTCCTTCTTCAAACACAGGTTCAATCGCAATCCTAAAACGGATCACCAAACAGAAAAACGTTAAGCCTATGTTCATTTTAAGATACAAATGTAGCATCCTATGCTGCTAAGCATGATCATAATTACTACCTCCGTCCCACAAAATTAGTCCACATTGAGTTTTGCGTTTTGTACTGTTTTTAGTACAAAGTACAAATTTAAAAACTCAATGTAAACTATTTTTTTGGGACGGAGATAGTACAATTTTGAGCAGAAATAAAGACAGCAAAGAATATCTGATTCATAAGCAACAGGTAATATACTTTAGAAAAAATCATACTTGGCCTCTCCCACAAAATCATCTTCCCCTGCATCACTGTCTAAAATCTTGAGTAGTAATTCAGGGTCATCCTCACTCTCAGAAATCGAAAGCTTAAACGTCTCATTCCATTCGGGCTCCGATCCACTCCCTGAAACAGTTAAAACTTTTTAATCCTCTTAAAAATTACTCATATCAAAACCAAAAACCCCATGATATGAATCACAAGAGCTAAGATTAAAATCAGAACACTATTCATCAATTTTAATAAAAAGAGAACAGAGCCCAGCAGATCAACTCAAATCAGAACATAAAAATGAATGTATTTTCATTTCACACCACCTGATGCAACGCTGCTTTTATGCTCCTGAGAACGGTAACTGATGGTCACATACGGATCCATGTTATCTGCACCAAGTAAAAAACATCAACAACATCAGAAACAGAAATTCCTAAAGACTTGAATTTTTTCCATTCTAAGTGTGGATCAGGAACAATTGACACCTGATTTTTTCTGGGATCATCATTTCTTCAATTTCCAAACAGAAGTAAAACATTTTTTTCCATGAAAATCCAAGGAATCAATAACCGTATTGATCATCATAGCACATATTAAAGAGAGATCAACTTACTGAGGAAATCAGTGTTTTCAAGGCCTTTAGCATTAACGAGAAGGACTTCAAGTGTTCCCCGCTGCATCTTCTCGAAATCAAACTGTGAAACCCAGAAATTCCAGACAATTTTGCGAAATTCTTGCAAAGAATTTTCGGACAGTTTTTCCCCTTTTGGCCTTTCTGCTGTAGTGTACATCCTCAAGTCAAAGTCCTGGTGGGTTATATACGCGCGAAAATCATAAACCGGCTTAAACCGAACCGGAACGGTTTAAAGGGCATTATCCCTATTCCCTCGTACAGGCTGAAAACGTTACGACTTTGCTGGCGGAAAACCGGACGCGTTTACGCGCAATGAACATGAAGAAAACATAAAATTAATCAAAAGAAAACAAAATTTTTATTTTTTATTTCTTTTTTAAATTTCAATTTGAATCTTTAAATTAAAAAATACACATACAACGTCAAAAAGGAATGTCGGTGGAATGTGCTTTAGGGGTGATCTGTAAGGCATATGGCTAATGTACTTCTTATTTTTGGGGTCTATTTTAAAAGGATTGAAACATGATGAAGGTGATGAGAAGTAATAATTGGAGTATTGAAATTAGATGTAGAAAGCATAAGAACGTCTGAATTTCTGGTTAAGTTAGCTCTGGATGGCAAACCAAGAATATTTGACGAAAGAAGTGTGAAATTTACAAAATATAACTCATAAAATATTTATACTGCCTTCGATTCACTGAAATAGTTATACATATAATCTTTAAATAAACAAAAAACAACAAATTGACCACGAACGTGATTGCAGAAACCGGTCTCCCTTACTCGATTATTGCTTCTACAATAATTGGGGATATCAATAATTTTCAGCTTTGTGATTTCATTTCTGTGGCTAAAATAACATTTTCTCTTGTAAATAAATACCGTCCATGATGTTACCATTATTCTTGCAGACACAGGCCATGCACAAATCCACCTCCCTCTCTTGATTGCTTGTCAAGTCTGCTTTGACATATACTCCTTCCGTCCCGAAATTATTGTCCAATTTGAATTTTTAGTTTCAGTACAAATTAACTAAAAGTGAAAATACAAATTGGACAATAATTTTTGGACAGAAGGAATATATGTATTCGCTAGAAACCACCCGTGTAAGACAGAAAATCAATCCGAAATTTGCTTCTTTATAAATACGGTTCATCAACTAGCTACTTACTCCCTAGTCAACAATTGCCGATTTTTTTGAATTAGTTCATCAACAACTGCTTCTCTGAAATGATCTTTCACTTGACATGATACTTTCCAAAATCCATATTAATTTGCTGATTGCTTGGAATGCATGTCACCCTTTTCTTACCTCACATTAGTGGTGGAATAAGCATTCCAGATAAAGAGAGTACAGCGAAATATAGTCCATTTTATGTTCCTGAAAGGAATAGAGTAGCGAAAAGAAATAAAAATCATCCTCTAGGAATTTGAAAGACAGAATGATAAGATCTTTTTAAAGAACAAGCTAGGAGAGTAGTAAATAGACTACTAGTACTAGCTAGTCTAGTCATATTTGTGGTAGCTAAACGTACGCATCCAGGCATCTATCCGTGAAGGCTTGAAAAGCTACGCTCGAGTTACTTAGAGCAGAACACAAGACGATGATAGCAACAACCCAAACACGCAGAGAAAACACACTTCCTGAGTATATATATGGGAGATAGTCACTTCTCTCAAAAGAGACAAATAAAAGGTTTTGCTCTGAAGAGGAGTTTAAATTTCAAGTTTAAAGTTAAAAGAAATTGTAATGTAGGATATTTTTCTGGGACAAAGATATACGCATCATAAATTCTTGGAGGCATTTTCATTACTCGCAAACTAAATGAAAAAAAAAATCTCCCAAATTTTGATAATTATAGGGCATAACGTAAAACGATCAATTTAGTTTTCAGTCGCTTGGTACTTCCGTCTTCAAGACTATAAATTCCCATGTCTTCACCGCCTCTTAAACCAAGCCGCCCACCTCCTCTTCCTAAATATTCCAGATAACGATAGGCTTGCCACCAGTCTTCCGTAAAATTGATGCAATTGGACTTAACTACACCCGACAAGGCAGAAGCGTCGATAGAAATAAATAGCCGAGCTATTGCCAACAAAAACGATATCGTTTCGCAAACTAGTGATCTCTTCCCACTCGCATTTTGTCACATCCAACTGAATTATCTTAAAATCAGTAACTCCATAATGGCCATCTTTGTCCGGTACATCACCGTCCCGGGTAACAGCTAATAACTCGCCGCTTGATGATTGAACTAGATATACTTGTCTGTCATAAGTTAATCGAGGATCGATAGTTGAGTTAAGACAGGCAACCTTGAGATCGCATGAAGATTCATCCCAAACCCATACAAAGCCACTTTCATCGACAGCATAAAACTTTCGTTTGTAGTAAATAACATCATCAAAGTAATGTCGGCCGCATTTTTCTATTGTGGTCCATTTCAGGTCGCCACGCCTCCAAAATCCCAAGAATTCAACCCAACTTTGAATTACCATTATAACAAAATCTGATGCGTATGATGGATTTGCTGACAGGCCTCCAAAATCCCAAGAGTTCACCCCAAGAGAAACATAAACGAATGCCCGTAATAAGAAATTATGAACTAAATTCTTGAGTTGATTGTATCAAAATCACAGATGACCTCGTTCTGAAAGTTTAAAACTTCTATAATCTGCGACCCTAATTAATTTTCAAGAGAAATCCAAATGGGCGGACAAATTGTACTATAGTTAGTATGGATGTGTTCAACAGTTCCATCTTCAACATTATAAATTCCGGTATCCTTTCCGTCTCCTCCCATTGTTGAGTTCCAATTGTCATCCGTGAACAGTGCCGGCCTTAGGGGTAGGTTAGTAAAGCCCTAGCTTTATGCCTCATATTATTTAGAGCCTCATTTTTTAGGATTTTATTTATTATAAATATTTTTTGGAATTATTTTATTATAATTATTGAAAAGATAATAAAAAAGCTATAATAATATAAATATTTTAACATGCAAAATATGTTGTATTTTAGTTATCTCATAAAATTATTTGTATCAAAATTTTAAAATGTTTTAACGAAAATTTTCTTTATCTAAGTCCGACTACTTGAAGCCCCAAATTGAAATTTAGTTTGAGGCCTCAACATACATTGAGCCAGCTCTGTCCGTGAAATATATACAATTAGGTTTAATTCTCTCTGCCTCCACTCTTGAGATAAAAATTGCATCATTAAAACTAACAAATATGGCATCCCCTTCCAAACAAGAAATCTCTTCCCAATTTTTAATCATAGCCTCATACCATAGACTTTGAAAGTCCTACTATAATGGTAACGGTTAGGGCGCCCATCATTATCTACTCGCAAAATCAGTAGCAACTCCCCAAATGAGGATTCCACCAAATATAACTTCCTATAGGGTAACAAGTTAATGTCGAAGAGAACTGGAGCTGTTGACCCAGAGGAACTATCATCACAAATCCGTAAATCTCCCCAATTATTGAGTGCGTAAAACTTCCCTTTGTAGTACTTCACATGTTCGAATACACACCAGTACAATACATTATGCATATCTATCCGCCTCCAGGCTACATTTCCAGGCCTCCAAAACCCTAGAAACCTACCACCCCATAGAGTAGCAAACAAGGTGAAATTTGACTGTTGGATGAATTTTGTGACAATATAGCTACTGGTATATCATAGAATAACGGTACAGCCCGATACTTTTTAGCAGGATAGTAGTCGTTATACTTGGGAGGAGAGTTGTCAAACTAGGGAGATGAATCTGTTGGCGGGAGAAAGGATTTAACAAATTAATGTCCTTCACATCCGTAACAAGTAACCATCCAAATCCAACATCCGTGCATTGTTTGTACTTTATTTCTGGCATGGATAATCTCATACAAATCTTTCTTTTCGCTAGGCTGTAAAATTCGTGTTCCGTGTGATCATGGTCTCCCTCGTGTTTATAAGCCAGCATAAGCAATGGAGCTCTAAGCCGAAAAGTGAACTTATCTAAGGTGGCGGCCGCTCTCCAAGAAATACACACACCTCTGAGTGCCATGAAATCTTCCACAAGTGATATACGTTTGGCTATCTCCACCACCAGATCTAGTGGCATGGCCGACCAATCTGTCAATATTGGTTCCATCAACAAGATGTCTCGAGTTTTTTAAACATAAAAACTAAATAATAAATGAGGAATAAAATTAAAACCACCAATTAAATATGTTTCTGTTCGAATTTGTTACTCCCTCCGTCCTAAAATTATTGTCCAGTTTGCTAAAAAAATTTTATCCCAAAATTATTGCCCAATTTGACTTTTTATGAGTTAAGTTACACATTTACCTTTTACCCATGAAAAAACATATACTCTTCTGTTAAAAAAGAAAGAACAAATTAACTAAAACTCTTCTTCTATTATTCCTATGCAGTAGAAACGAAAAACTGAAGATAGCAGCAACTGATTCTTCGACGGCTCCAACCGGCAGGGTGGATGAGGTGGTCGGGTGGTTGCTGGACGTGAATCTGGAGAAATTCTAAGAAAAATCGGAGTCGTGACTACAACGGTGGATTCAAACGATAAAATTGAATAATCATCTGGATCTGAAGAATTGGAATCAATTCATCGAAAAATTGGTTCAATTGGCACAATCTGTGGCCTTATGGTTGAAGAATTCTGTTGGATAAAAAAATCAAAAAAATTTTGTTGAAATAGATAAATTTGGAAGTCAAAGTGAAAAAAGAAGTGAAGAAACCGCCATCGCCACCCTTCAACTCTGGCGTCTAATGGATCACGTCGTCTTCCACCGTCCTCCAGCAAAGAATCCCCGCCGCACTGCAATTCTTTTTAAGATTGAGCAAGCTTTTTGCGAAGAATCCAAAGATGAGACAGGTGTTTTGACATTTTTTGGGTACAATTCTATAACAATCCATCGTGTCAATATTCTTCCGGTGGGGATTCCAACAACTTTGTGGCGGCGTGGAAGCAGTGAAATTCCTAGCTGGGAATATTTACCTTGGTTTGCCAGCGGCTCCTGATGCCGCTCCCAAAATTTGTTCGGTTAAACCAATTAATACGTATGTAGGGGTATACTTGGAATTTTGTGTCAAAATTTGGTTGAGTTTGATTAAAATTAAGTTTTTGTATCTTAACAAAATATGATAATAATTTTGGGACAGAGGGAATATATTTTTATAAGGCAGTAAGCCGATCAACCTAAATCCCCGCTCCCGGTTGGATTTGGGATTTGAATTCAATCCCCAACTGGATATGGATTAATTGATTGAAGGACCCGTTCCGTCGGTGATAACGGAGAAATTGGAGATTAATTCGGAGAGGAGGACTATAGTTTTCGTCGAAGCGTGCCATGTCGAATTTGATATACAAATCAAATGACAAATTTCTTTTTTTCTTTTCTTTTGGGTACAAGCAAATGACAAATCTTAACATTACATACAATGCGTCGCCCAGAAGGCCAGAAGATAATAGATTTGAAGGGGGAGACACAATCTCTAGTCGAAAATGGAAACTCGTAAACAGTTCCTATTTTATTTAGGACAAAAAAAAATGTTCCTCTAACTAAAAAAAAAAAAAAAAAAAAAAAAACTAGTTTTAAAAATTGAAATAAATTCATAAAGTAGGCTATCATTGTTCTTCTTAAGGGCACCACTTATTAGTGGAGACCAGTTATTGTTTCCACTAAGTAGTTATTGGTGTCAACATGTTGAATAACAAAATTGAACTAAATAGTGTTAAAATTGCAATAAAAAATGTAAGTAATACAAATTAATTTATTGATTATTCTGGTTAATAAATTCAGTATTTTTTATTTATTATTAAACATTCAAAATTAAACGCTAACTTTAATCAAACAGACCATAACAGTCCATACCCTATATACGCTTCAAATAAACTAATTAAGTAATTATTTGACTTTGTAAGTGGAAGAAAAATGTGGTCTAATATTCTAGACGGAGAAGTAATAACTTTCACAGAGTTATAGTTCTCCACTCTTTTTTTTTTAAAAAAAAATTATTTAGTTTTAATTTTTTTTAAAAGGGTAAAAAAAAATGCTCCCTCTGTCCCAAAATTATTGTCCAATTTGAGATTTTATTTTTAGTACAATTTAAACTAGAAATGAAAATCCAAAATGGACAATAATTATGGGACGGAGGGAGTAGTTTGTAGTTTGCTCGAAATCAACCGTGCTCAAAGACATTATCCAAAAAAAAAAAAAAAAGAAAAAAAAGTTGTGCTCAAAGAAATAGGTCCTTTTTCACCAAAATCCACACTTAGAAAGGCATCATGTAGTTCCCTGCTTCCTTCTCTTTCTTCATCGTCTTTTTTTTTCCCCTTGAAATCGAAATGTTCTTTATCCATATGATTGCTAACAGGATCACTTGATTTGCGTGATTTTGGATGGAGTGTTAATTAGAAATATATTGCTCGCCTTTGTCTCATTTTGAAACATACTCTCTAAAGGGACGTTCATTGAACTATTATTTTGGTTCAGCAAGTCAAACTATATTTCGGGATGAAAGAAGCAGTAAGAACTCCATTTCTTGTTAAATAATTCGATCAATAGGTATACGTTTCTTGGTACAAATTTCATTAACTTTGTATTAGTTGGTCTTCCTCCCATATCGATTTTTCCTCAAAATTTACAACAAGTCCAATTAAGATCAAAGAAAAGGGGGGAAACAATATAATCGCATTTGACAACCAAATCATCAAGAGAAATCATACTTCGCTAGATAACATGTATCTCACATATATATCAGAATTCATCGTTTATGAAGCAATTTGTACACGCTACAAATTATTCTCGCGCATTTCATCCACGCATATTTGACCAACTCTGCAAGAAAGTCAAGTCAAACATGGATGTTTAATTATTCATACTTAATTAAGGAAGAGCTAATAATCTGGATCGATCCATTTCCCTCCTTTACGGGCAAAAGACGACCCGATAGTTGGTTCCTCCGGGGCAAGTAAATGTACTAGTCTGGTCATCTTTCGGGTAGCTGTAAGCATCCGGGCACCTATCCTTGAAAAACCTGGAGAAATCAGTGGGCCCACAGTTGCCGGAGTTGCAACAGTATTCGTCGGTCTTGAACACCGTGCAAGGGTTGTTGCAGCCGCCGTTAGTTCTGAGCTGACTCGGGCACTGCCCGTTAATATCGGCGGTGCACTGGATCCCGCGGCAGGAACCGGTGGTCGGACTAAAGTCCATCGGAACATTGAACCCGTCGACAAGAGAGATATCAAAGAAGTCAAGGTTTTGAAACTGGTTCAGCGCGAATTCCGCCAGAGTGTTCGGCGGCTGGCCGTAGCCAGTGCACGCGAGAACTCCGGCGCAGTCGCCGGTTTGGCAGCCCCCGCGGCCGTTTCCGTCGAAGTTGCATCCGGTTCTGGCCCACACACGGCCTCCGGTCGTGCCGGGGTTCACGTTAATCGTCCATGTTTGGCCGCTATTCAGTTGCTGGCCACCGCCGGGGACGGCTGCGGCCCAGACAGTGTAAGGACAGTTGTTGCGGATATCAAAAATGGCCGCATTGGTGGAATGAACCAAGAAAGTTGAAACGAGAGCAAAAGCAGAAACGCTTATAAGAAGATTGAAAGAATTCATGGCTATGGAGAGATTGAATTAATATGTTGTGCGGATATAAAATGTTGAGAATGTAGGCATGTTTATATAGGCCTGAGGGGTTGCGGAAAAGTTTGTCAGGTCGTCGGAAAATGTCGAAATTCCACAGCTGAAGTTAATTGATTAATACTACGTCGGATTGATAGACCCGGGAACTTAAAGAAGTAGGAAGAAGTCATGAACGTTTACTAGCTAGCGGGGTGAAGAGAATTCTCTGGCTCTCGTGTGGATATATTTATATCATCCATATTTTCCTTGGCTTCTAGTAATATTCATCTTATTTTCCTTACAAATTAATGTGCAGTCAGTGGTTATTTTCTTTTCCGGGTTCTATCTAGTTGTGTAGTTTGAAGTTGAACCGCTGTTGTATTTTACCTCATTCCAAAAGACTCAATAGAAATAAAACAATAAAAAGAAAATCCTCTTTCTATTCCAAAAAATAATTTTCATTGAGTTTTGAGATTTATAAATTTAATATATTACAAATTCAAAACTCAACGTGGACTGTTTTTATGAGATAGAAGAATTAAAAAATTGTTCAGGGAGATTGACCGCCAAATTCGTACATGTTTACCAAAAATCAGAATGTTATAGCAAAATGTTATTTGATATCATTGGCATCCACTGCAATAAAGTTCCAAAGTTTACAAAATGGACTGCATCATTAAATTAAATATAATTATTGGAACACAGGGTGATTCATGTTTTCGTCCATAAAAAATATTTTTCTTTATGAATATTTCGGTTCTAATTGGCTTCGATGCCTTCTCTTGTAGAAAATATTTTTTTAATACACTTTACACTTTTCCTCTGCCAGGAAAAAAACACGAATATATAGCATATTAAGACCAACTTACTGAGAAAATCAGTGTTTAGAAGTTCTTTGGCGCTAACAAGGGCATCAAATATTCCTCACTGGAGATCAGAATGATTCAAACCAATTAGACAAATTTCCACAAATTTTGCGAAGAATTGTTGGACGATTATTTGCCCATTCAGGCCTTTTCGACTACTGTATTGGGGAATTGTTTTTGCCAAGAAAGGGGTTGCCTAGTGGTTTGGGCTTTGTCATTTAACCTGAGAGATCCAGGTTCGAATCCCGCTAATAACAATTTCAGTGTTGAGTTTGTGCAAGTTTACTTGTACCCGTCAGAGGCTTTCTGAGTACCAGATCGAGACGTGCGCGCGTAGAGTCTCCCCTTTAGTAGTACTATGCCTTTCCCCATAAACACCACCCACATGTAATAGACTAAGTACACTTGTAATTGTGTGTTAAAAAAAATTGAAAACATATACGGGCTCGAAAGGGATCCAGACCGGATTCAGCACTTCAGGCGCGCGGTAAACATATAAACCGGTAACGTCATAAACGTTCGATCGTTCATGAACGAATTTTGCAGGTGGAAAACCGGTCGTGGTATATGTGCATGAACAAACGTTTAAAAAGAAAATACTTCTTTTTAGTTTCGATCCCATCCGTTATAGAGGAGATTAAAAATAAACGTAATATAATTTTACGCCTTATAGATAAGAAAAATAATAAAATTACGTGTCTGATTTGGGGTTTAAAGTTTAAATAGATCCAGCAAAGATTGAGGCGGACAGACAACGTTGCAAAAAAAAAAAAAAAAGTATACATAATGTTCTTAAATCTTATAAGGATAAAGACTAATTAGGAATTGAATATGACTGATTTGAGTTGATACATAGGTGCATGTAATAGTGAAGTATAGGGAAGTTGCACAGGAATTGAGTTTGTGATTTACCAAAAATAGTTATAAGAATAATAAGAAAAAAAAATGTTTTCTTGTTCAAATGGAACGTCTGTGAAACATATTTTAAGAAATTAAGATTAGAGGTGATCTGTTAGGCATGTGGTTTATATGTCGTGTTTGTATTTATTTTTTCGAAAGGGTGTGTCACTTTTCTCTACATCATCACAGTCACATTAAAATGTTTAGTACTCAATTCGACCAAAAAATAGTTCATATAAATTTAAAAATTCAGTGTTCTACAATGGTGAATCAAAGATTCCATAGAGATTATTTGGAAAGAATATTTTGTATATTGAATATGTATTCAAGTTGTGAACAAAAGAAGTCTCAGACATATTAAATACCCGTATCCCGACTAACATAAACAACTATACATATATTTACAAACTAGCCCCAAACTATACAACAACTACAAATCAACCCCTGTTATTGTACAACTGTTTATATACATGAACTAGTACATACAACCTGCCAATGCATATATACAATATGTACAATAGACATTTCTACAAGTGTGGACAATTTTTTTTGAGACAAAGCTAATATTACCGATTTATCGTCCGGAGATATATACCCATTAACACAGAATTCCTGTGGATTGAGGAAGTTCAAAAGAAAACCAATGAATTTTAGGCTGAATACTAAGATGTAAAATATACAGTAGCTCTGTCCCAACAAAAATAGTTAAAACTGAATTTTTAAATTTACACTAGTTTGTTGATTATTAATTTTTTTGGAACACAGGTTGTAATATATTTTCTTAAAGAGTTCAATTTTGAGATAAATTATTTGAAATTTCATATTAGTTTCAGGTTCAACGGTTATCAGAGATTGCAAGACTTTTCTTAAAATGTGTCCAACCATCGTTGTGTTTTGTTAAGCGTGATAATTAAATTTATGTACCATCTTTGTATCATCTCTATCGTAAAAAACAGACGGAATAGTGCTTACGGTAGTCGATCCTATTTACACTTGATTACTTGACCCTAAGACGAGGCTTTCACATCACTCAATTCATGACGATAAGTCTATAGGTACCACGTTTTCTAAAAGCTGCCTACACTTGAAAGCAACTGCTGCCGAAACTGATAATTAGTTGCTAGAATTTTCTTACGTTTCACGGATTGCACCAGTAAGCGTATCAAGTCGAATGTGACACAACGTGAGCTTACGACAAGATTAATTTTATCATATAATCATGTTTTGTCAAAAAAGATAATTAACGATTTAACGTAGAGATATTTGTACGTCAGGTGTTGTCCTAGATTAAATCAACAAAAAGATCACTAATGTAAACTCTGGCCATATTATTATACAAGTACATAGTTTAATTAATAGCTGGTGCGGGATTTATGCAAATTTTAAAACTTTTATGTTAGGTTCAAATTCTTGTCATGATTAAATTGGTCAATATTTTTACAATCTGCATCAAATACTTGCTGAAAATTTGATTTATATGTATATCTGAGGATGACTAAGTTTTTTAGTAGTAGCATCAAAGTGATAAAGTAACGTCCATTTCGTTTCCTCCGTTTCGTAATAACATAATTAAGATTAGATTCGTCATTAAAACCTGTTTCGTGGCACTAAAAATAACATTACGAGAGTATCATAATCTCTCATAATGTGATTATGTAACACTTTGGGCTTTATGTCTCTTTATAATTTTTTTTTTTTAAAATAACGCCTTCAACCTTCAGAACTAGTCAAAGTAAGACCAAAACAAAACAGAGATATTCAGCAAGCCAAATCAGTAAACAGAATAGATGATTAATTGAGTATGTGAAGTATACGTCATCTTATTAAGAAGTCGCACATTGGTAAATGTGCTCATGCATGCTCCCATGCATATTTTGACCTAGCCTGCAAAACAGAGCAAAGCTAGTCTTTTTTTTACATGGTGAGTAATTATTTATTACTCAAATTATGAAGCTAATTATTAATTAAATGATCGGCCGGGCTAGCTGATCCATTTTCCTTTCCTCCTCTACGGGCAGAAAACAACATTATAGTTGGTTCCTCCGGGGCAAGTGAACGTACTAGTCTGGTCATCCTTGGGGTAGCTGTAAGCATCCGGGCACCTCTGCTTGAAAAACCTGGAGAAATCAGTGGGCCCACAGTTGCCGGAGTTGCAACAGTACTGATCGGTCTGGAACACCGTGCAAGGGTTGTTACAACCACCGGTGGTTCTAAGCTGACTAGGGCACTGCCCGTTAATATCGGCGGTGCACCGGATTCCGCGGCAGGAACCGGTGGTCGGGCTGAAGTCCATCGGCACGTTGAACCCGTCAACAAGAGAGATATCAAAGAAATCAAGGTTTTGAAACTGGTTTAGCGCGAACTCCGCCAGAGTATTCGGCGGCCGGCCGTAGCCGGTGCATGCAAGAACTCCGCCGCAGTCGCCGGTTTGGCAACTCCCACGGCCATTTCCGTCAAAGTTGCATCCGGTTCTGGCCCATACACGGCCTCCGGTCGTGCCGGCGTTCACGTTAATCGTCCATGTTTGGCCGCGGTCCAGTCGCCGGCCACCGCCGGGGACGGCTGCGGCCCAGACGGTGTAGGGACAGTTATTGCGGATATTGAAAGTGGCTGCATTGGTGGAATAAACTAAGAAAGTGGAAACGAAAACGAAAACAGAAACGCAAAAGATATTGAAGGACTTCATGGTTATATTATGTGGAGTACTTGGTGTGTGGATTTTCTTGAGAATGTGTGCATGTTTATATAGGGCTTGGGTGGTGGAAAAAATGGTGAGGGCGTCGGAAAATGTTGAAAATTCCACAGCTAAAATGTGATGACTCATCGGGTTTGATTGACCGGGGAACATTATCGGTATAGGAGGAAAGAAGACGACGATTATGGGATTTGTGTGGAATTATTTGCATCCCAAAGACTTTTAATCGCTAACGGCATTTAAACAAAACGTATGCTCTCTCTAGCGTTTTGTTTTTTTCTTTTCATATCTACAGTCAGAGTTTATGTCTGTTCAGTGGTGTAGTTTGAACAACTGATGCACCTCATTTCACATTCCAATTGTGCGGTTCTTTTTAATCTATTTGGTATATATACTCCTTCAGTCTTAACAAAATTTAATTCGATTTGTTAAATTCTAACAGAACACACGAAACTGTCTTCCCAGTACAAAAAGAATACTAGGTGGTAAAAGTGATAAATTTGTTAGTAATTTGTTATCTTCAAGGAGTGATGTAATATTAAGCGATCCTGTATCATATTCAGATTGATTTCCGTTCAATTTTGATAATCCCGTTGCGACTAAAACAAATTAAACTAATTAATACTAGTGTTTACCCCACACGGTGTGAGGGTTATTCAAGATATACGAGGTTAATGATTTAACGATTATTTAAAATTTCTGACGGAGCGATATATGTTAAAAAAAATTATATTAATGATATAAATTGTAATTGTATAATTTTGAATGTCACGTGTTTTGTTATTTTAAGTACATTTGGAATACTTTTCAACGTTTGAAATTATCTAATATAACATATTGTTTACCTTTTTGCATTTTATTGATTTATGATTTTATATTTTTTAAATGTATTCTCTTAATTTTTTTTATAATAATCTCTCTAAATGTTTTTATCCGTGTCATATATCTTTTATACCCTCACTCTAACATGAAAATTTTTTCATTATTTCTTTATGTAAACTTATCTTTATTTTCCATCTCTTTGTATACCTTTTACAACCTTTCTTTAGAATTTTATTCGTATAACTTTCTAATAATATAATGCTTACTATTTTTCCCTAAATTTGATGACCTCTCCTTAAATATTATTTTCTTGAAAATTAACTCATAACTATCAAAATCAATATTGATTGATGAATTGATTTTTTTCATCTTAACCGTCAATATTTTTTTTACATCAAATTGTTTTTTTTTTTAAATTTAGTTGGCTATCTTTGGATTTATTAGTTTGAAATTTCTTTTTGGTCACCTTTAAATTATATTACGTAAAGGAATGTACTTATATAGAGAAAAATATTTATCATTAGTTTTAAACTATATTATCTTTGGATTTGTTTGGCCACGGGATCATTTTTCCTATAATTTTATTTTTAGTCCACGTAATATAATGGATGAATTGGGAGGGATGCGAAAATTATTTTCTTTTCTTGTGGTAATTAGGTAATTGGTGATTGATAGGGTTAGTAAAAAGTATATTATCTATTAGAGTTTTGAGAAATCTCCCAATTAATTTAGTTTTATCTATAATTTACAATTTTATATTAAAAATTACTATTAAATGATAGACTGATATGGTTGCGGCATATGGGATTGGATGTCTAATTTTACGCCACGTGGAGCCTATCTAATATCGCGTCATGTGTCCGATTGAAAACTCTCCTTTAATATATTAAAGATATATATATATATGTCAAATTTAACTTCGTGGTATTTTGGAGTATGTTGTTTATAGATTGTTAATTGACATACCATTCAACAAATGGATTCCGTGTAGGATAATTGGTACTTTTTTATCTTAAAAAAATAATAATCTAAATTATTATAAAACTATCTGATTAAATGTGAACTATTTTTTTCCGGGTCAAAGAATGTACTCCCTCCGTCCCATAATTATTGTCTAATTTGAGTTTTTATTTTTAGTTCAAATTGCACTAAAAGTGAAATGTCAAGCTGGACAATAATTTTAGGATATAGATAGTATAATAATTTGCCTAACTATCTCGTTTACTGAAATGTTCTCACCCTCTTCAGAAAGTAAGACTAAGTCATTATCCTATCAATAACGATGATAGAGATGCATGCCGGTTGAGGGAAATGTCAAATTTAGATTTTCTTTGGGAGTGGTCACAAGCGAGTGCATTTAATGTGATTTCCATGTACTGTTTATTATTATTAAAACGTTCAAGACACATTAGAATTATTCACCGTCAATCACAAACAACAGGTGACAGACATTCCATTTCGAAACAGTAACTCCTTCATCCATCCTATTTTCATATTTTTGTTATAATATAGTTTAGTTCAATATAGTATTACTTTCGTTTCAAAAAAAAAGTTCATATTAAATTTTAATTTCGAAATTAGATTTTTTTTTTTTAGAGAGAGGGAGTAGATTATAAAAAACGACATATGGAATAAATATCAACCCTTCTTTGAGTTTGATGTTCGAACACGTACTGAAGAGTGGAGACCTTAATTACTAGCATATTCCGTTTATATCCCCCTATGATTTGACAAAAACCGGAAGCGGAAAATTGGAAGTCATTTATCTTAGTTTTCGGTTTGGGTCATTTATGTAAAAAAAAAAAAATGAGAGTTTACTAGTTCCAGTCATGCTTAGCCGCCCAAGTTGGATAAAATTCTTAATAAGAAATGATGCTAATTTCGGTGTCCATTTTCCAAGCCTAATTCTCGAGATAACTGACTATTTTCTGTGCAAAGAACATTTCCAACTTCAATATTCATTTGCTTTTTTCCACTCATCATTAATCAAGCTTTTCTTTATTAGGGAAGTGCGTGTCATGACCTCCGCCTAAAAAAATAAATTATCCACTTTATTAAAATTAATTTATTCAATAAATTGGATTAAATTTTTTGAAGGGAACAGAGACTAGTCAAATTTGCAATATAATTTTCTTTTCACTTTAGTTATCTTCTTCTTATACTCTTTCCGGCCTAAACGTAATCCATTTTAGAAAAATTTATAAGTAGAAAAAATTTTCTTCTTTCTTCTCTGTTTTTTTGTTTTTGGGCCATGTTTCGGATTGAATATTGGAGTTTCTTAATCTGTTAATCCTTCTGCTAGGATCTACTCCAACTTGAAATGCACAGCAACATCAACACTTGTTTTTCTATTTTTTTTTTGGTACAAGTAATAAGTAAAGAGGTGAAGTCGCCTAGTTTTAAACATGTACATTGTGAGAATAAGATACTCTAATTAAATCATGCTCCAATTCAGCGAGGTGTCTACAATTCAGCGAGGTGTTTACAATTCAACAAAGAGAATTAGTCATTGTTGCGGACACCCTGCAAATATACAAAAATAATAATAATAATAATAATTAAATCATGCTCCGACCACATACTAACACCACTTGGTGAAGTTACTAACCATTTTATACCCCGAACCTAGAGCTGCTAATGAAGCCAAATAATTTGCAACAAAATTTACTTCTCAAAATATACGTAGTAGTTCAACTACCCATCCTCGTTTCAATAGCTCACGAATGCCAGGGACTATTCCCGCATTAACTCCTCGGACTTTCTTATTCCTCTGTAGCATTGTAATAATACTTATATTGTCCACATTCACAATAATCTTTCCCCTCCCAGTGTTCATACAAGTGTGGTTTGGAATAAGTCCTATAATTCTGTTCTCGTTATAGTACAGAAGTCAATATTCATAGTGAAACCACCCAACTTTTCCATAGCAATTTCTTGCAACGCCTCCAGTGCTCGCCATCCCTGTCTCCCGATTAAAGCTCCCGTCAAAACTGATTTTCTTCCATTCTAGCTAGCGGAGGAGAATGTCAATGAATCAATTTTGTTTCCCAGCCCATCTACCGCCCACCCAACTTCTTCTCTTCCATTGTAGGCTTTATGCACGTTATCGCGCGACGAGATTCTCAATGTCCCGAACCCTCCATCTAACCCCGCCATCAGAGGCTCAGCGCCTTCAAACACACGAGCATTTCTTCATCTCCATGACCATACACGCTCTGCAGTCACACCAAAATAGCAACTCCAATTTTCTCTCATGCCTTCTCCCGTCCGATTCACATTTTTCAAAATCCAGTTGCTCAAAGGTAGCGAGAAAAAACCAGCCCCTCAACGGCAGAGGTACCAACTGATTCCAAATTTGGTTCGCCGCTGGGCAATCTCGAAGTTTTTGACATTTTTTTTGTGACAATTATTGAAGCAAAACAATGAAACGTTAGTATTTTGCGTTAAAAAAAATAACAAGGCGTGTTTAAATAAATATTTTTTTTAATGGTTAATTACAATTTTTTTACCCTCTCCTTTTCTTAAGACATTTTTTTGTCTGACAGTAATGAGTAATCTTCTTATAAGTTTTGCAGTACGTGAAAACGCATGCTCTTTCAATTTTAAGTTGACAGACACTGTTTCTTAATATTCCATTTTTTTTCCATCAAGAGTTTTCCTTTTTCCTAAAAACATTTTTTTTTATTAAGGTACAACTCATGAATCAAACTTACCATATTCTCCAATTTATATACATTTACATGTCACTCATACTCATAAGCTACAGATCATCATGTTGGAAATGAATTTGAAGTTATAAAAAATGGGAATTACGCCTAAAAGTACACAATATGAACCTCCTCTGATAATAAACCTATCTGAAACTCCAAAAGACCTTCATAGATCACAATTCAGAGGGAGTCATGTGTTACCGATTGCATCATTAAAATAAAAAATAAAAAAAAATTTCCCCATTTATCACCATGTTTTTTGGTTTTGAGATAATACAATAAATACAATAATAATTTTATGACGAAATGAGTATAACCATATATATAAACAGGATCAACATAACAAATCCAGTAATCTTAAAGCATATTTACCGCTAAAAGTTAATACCAATTCTCTTGCATTCAATTGACAAAAATTTAAAATTAAACTCCCCGGTATCAATCATTATAGACTATCAATTAACTCAAACTTTAAGTTAAGACGTTTGGTTGAATTTGATTAACATTTTTTTTTTCTTTTTTATCATTTACGAACAAAGCCAGTTTGCATTTCTTCTAATGGCAAGCCAAAGTCCAGCCAACTCAGCTCGTCCCCTTACCCTGAAGCATAATAACAAAATTTACATGTATTATTAAAGTAATAAATTAATGACCAGATACTTATGTTTAGCATTTATTAATCTTAAATAAACAACATGCTTCTCCGACTTTTTATGTCGTTATGTTACCTTCCCATAGCCGTTTCAACGTTAAACTACGACAGACGAACAGGAAATAACTGCCCATTGAGTCCCGAATGTTTGAAATAATATTGATTTTTTACCCTCTATCTTCCTCCATCTTTAAGAGACAAAATGTACGCCTCTCATTCCAGAATGACATTGGCTCTTCTTCAACACTCAACCCCCAAATTTCATAGTATAATCAGGTAAAATGTAAAACACTGGAACCTTCTACGTCCCAAAATATTTGTTTTGATTCTAAAATTAAAATAATTTCGTAAACACATGCAACTAGTATAATCATAAAACAAAGAGAGCATTTCTTTTCTTTTTTTACTTCTAAATGAAAAAAAAAAATCCTACATTATATAGAGCAGAATTTTATGTTACACTCCCTCTGTCCCAAAATTATTGTCCAGTTTGTGATTTCGCTTTTAGTACAATTTAAACTAGAAATAAACACTCAAACTGGACAGTAATTATAGGACGGAGGGAATAAGTTATAATGTGTTTCCCTTGAGACAAATGGAGTAACAAAATGGCTGATAATTAAAAACGAAATTGTACCAAATGAGACACTAAGGATAATGGCGAAGTTCAAAAAAAAAAAAATGAAAAAAAGAATATCAATAATGCATGTTGTTTAGAACAATGAGGATAATGAAAAATGCTTCGCGAACGTATAATATAGTAAAAGTTACATTATGACTCACGAATGCTTTAAATCATATAATTTCATTGTTAATTTGATTAAAAAAATGATCAAATCTCAAATATGACAAAGTGAAAAAATGTTAAAGTTTCCAATAAAAAGCATAAAAATGATACTCCATCCGTTTCCTAAAAAAAGTTCATTTCGTTGAATTAAACCCCTATATAACAAAGTGGAACATTCTATTAGGACTGGATGGAGTAACTTCTTAAACATGAGGGGTCTCAACCGTTAATTAACTCCATTTATTTCTAAAAAGATAATGAAAAGAAAAGATAAACTAATGAGAGTTGGCAGTTTCAAACGGTACAAACTTATTTTTTTAAAATTAAATAAAAAAATCTTCCTAAAACAGTAACACACAGTCACACAATGACCAGTTACGACTCTTTTTTTTTTTTTTTTTTAACTCCAAGATCCCTCAAATCCTATATAAATTACCCAAGCGGCATACATCACTGTGGACTCTTCTTTTGTCTCTCTCTTCTCTCTCACACTGTGTAGTTTTCCCGCTACTTCGTGTCATCCCCAAAATCTCTCTCACAGAGTTCCTTTAAACTTCCATCTTCTCCGCCTCATCATCTCCCTCCGTTAAAGTTAAACCCTATCCTCTGTTTTGCTTGTGTTCATCCATTCAATTCCTTACCTTTTCGTTTAATCTCGTTTTCCTTGATTTTGCGAACAAGTTTTGTGCTTTCTTCTTTTTTGGGCGAGGAATTATCGTATGACTCTTTGCAATCGAACGAATTGGTGTAAGCTCGTGAGTGATGCTGTTTTCCTTCACGTTTTTGGGTAAAAAGTTATTGCCTTTATCGGTTTATAATAGCTTACTTCATGGCATTTCAATCTAGCTTATTTTTTTTTCTTCAGTGGAATGTGGAAACATTGATATGGAAATGCCATGTTCGATTTTATTCGGGTTGGTTTTTAATTCGGGTTCTTCTGATTGACGGGCAAATTCGAGTCTTGTGGATGATGATTTTTCTGATATTTTTTGAATTGGATTGGTGTTTGTTTTGCTAATAAGGAGATTTCATCTTTTCGCATTTAGGAGGATCCCATGATCTTTGTGAGCCTTGGACGTTATGCCACAGTTTTTATTTTCTTTGTTAGTTTGCTAGGAAGTTGTAGGAATCTATGTAAAAGTTACACAAGTTTTTGGATGAATTTCTTTTTTTTGTTTTTAATTATCGTTTGATACTTGTTTATCTTTGGTGATAACTCGTTGCAGAAGGTTATATGATGATCTCTTTGAATAATTTTGGAATATGTTGTTCGTTTGCAGCTATATTAAAGTTTTCTGTAAGGAAGTGAAGTCATGGTAGAAGTTACATGCTCTCCTGATGTGATGAAGAAAATTGGATTTGATTTCTGTTCTTCAGTTTCAAATACTAGTTATGATAGTGTAACTCCAGAATCTCCGTCTGATTCAAGGTAGGTGTTTGGGGATTAATGCTGCTATATTCAGAATTGATGTTCAAATGTGAGTAATTTACATCACATAGTAGTTAGTCTATTCATAAATAGGCCTATATATTGAATGGGTGAGTCGGACGTTAGCACTCTGCAGTTGCAGATTTGTTGATGTATGTGTTGTTTTGTTCAAATATTTTTCTGTAGTTTGAGCAGTCAAAGAAGCTGTTGTGCAACTAGACGTTCTTCACAAGCAGGGTGGACAGAGGAAGAGGTAAGTAGTAGTAGCAATTATCTGATGTCTTCATGATGTTATGATATTTTTCAGTACTTTTGACTATTTAAAAAATTGTTTTGGTTACTGGTCCACTAAATAAATGCAGTTTAATTCCTAAAGATTATTCTATTTTGGAACATTGTCTGTTAGTCTGTACTCTAAACAAGTTATTCCATTATTCAGATCTGTCAGATTAAGTAAGATCACATCATTTGTAGTAGAGAAAATGCTCAAGTTATTAGCTCTAGAAATGCTGGTTATTTGTAATGGATTCAGATTTCTTCTGTTAACAATTTGGTACAACTTTGATGGAGAGGGTGCATGACACGTAGCCACATTTCTTTGTAAAGTGAAGCTGATATTGACATTGCTTGAGTGAGGATGTCGATGAAGCATCATTTTAACAGTGCATGCTTGATTCTCATTTTGTCCATGGCGGCTTGATCTTTGACTTTTTTCGGGTGCTTGTAATAGGATAATCTGCTTGCTGATGTGGTGAAAAGGTTCAACGGCAGGAATTGGAAAAAAATAGGTAATGAGTTACACTTCTTCAGAATGCATACTCCATGTGCCCATAAATACAGAACTAAGTCACACGCTGTTCTCATCTGGAACTGAGGTTTTGTATGAGCATAGAGAAATGAGTCTTTGTAATAATGAATATCTACAGAATCATACCTTCTTCTTTTTTTTCATTTTTGAATTGGTTTTTCTTTGTTAGTGGGGCTACCTGTAGTAGTGGAATATTATTAATTGATTGGAGAAATGATGATGCAACTTTCATGTCTTTGTGCAGCTGAATGCATGACTGGAAGGACAGATGTTCAGTGTCTGCATCGGTGGCAGAAAGTTTTAAACCCTGAACTTGTTAAAGGTCCTTGGACTAAGGAGGTGCTAGATTAGCTTGTCCTTTTGTTGTAGCCATTGAATGCATCGATTAAGAAATCTTTTGACTACTGAAAAGTAATCATCTGTTTCTTATCTAAACCTTCAGGAAGATGAACACATTATTGAGTTAGTTGAAAAATATGGCTCCAAAAGATGGTCTTTCATTGCGAAGTTTTTGCCAGGTCGAATTGGAAAGCAATGCAGAGAAAGGTACGTTCAGTTCTTGGCCATTTTGAAAGGCAACTTGCATGCATTTGGCTCTCTAGGCACTTGATTTTGTGATGCATTGAAAGGTCATGTAGAAAAATTGCGAAGTATTGGAATTTGTATTTCTTTTTATCAGCTCCAAATCACACTTATATTTTCTTCTTTCTGGAAGTGAAGAGGGGAAGACTTTTTGATGCTCCCCTAAGGCATATGGAACCCATAACATCTTATTAAAAGGAAAAGCAAATTACCTCAAAAGAATAGGAGCAGAACTCTCAAATATGACATGATTTATTTAACCTACACACGAGGAAGATCTGCGTTGACTAGACTGAAGGCAAGTATGATCCTTAAGCCAGTTTGAAATAGAGGGAATAAGGCTTACTTGTTACTTAAAATAAAATTGTAAACAAACTAAAGCTCCTTCTGCAGTGGAATGAAACATTTGCATGCTTTAAATGTTTGATTGAATGATTATGTTGTCTGGATTCGGATGTAAGATTTGATATTATGATAAATGTCAGGTGGCACAACCATCTGGACCCTGCAATAAAGAAAGATGCTTGGACTGAGGAGGAAGATTCGATCCTATTTTACTACCACCAGGTTTTTGGAAACAAGTGGGCAGAAATCGCCAGGTTTCTTCCTGGAAGGTATTCAATTGGATTTTCCTGTTTGCATTCAGTGCATGGATAATATTTGTGCCATCCTAATTTTGGAGGATAGAGTGTTTGGCATCCATGTAATGACCTATTTATGCAGGGCTGTTGCAGAATATGCTTGAAAGTTCTCTTGATGAGGCTGACTTTTGATAAATTTTAGTTTTCTGGTTAAAGTGATGGTGTTATGCCTGCAATTATCGCCACCTTGCTTACAATCAACCTATGTTATTTTTATATGATATGGCTGATTACTATCTCAGTTGTTTTTTTGGGAGGTTAACATTCTCACCTCAGTTTTAAATGTTCATTAGAGGGACATTTTGGTTGTCTTTCTTAATTAGGTTCGATCTCAGTGTTCAGGATTTTCGTCATCCAATTATTAAGTGCTTTATGTTGCATTAACCAAATAAAACTGCATTTTAGATATTTATGCTTTATACCTGTTTCCTGATTTCGAATATACCTGCAGGACTGACAATGCAATAAAAAATCACTGGAATTGTTCGGTGAAGAAAAAGTTGGATTTGAACTCTCCTCGTTTCTCTGAGCTGGCTTTGCCTGGAATTAGCCTCCAGGAGTCTTGCGGTCCTCAAAGGAAAATGACTTCCATGGAATATCAGCTATCCCAGAATGTTTCTGACAGAAATGCTATCACTAAGGAAATCTATTGGCAAAATGATGAAAGTAACTGCTCAACAGAATTAGCTCTTGGGAATACAAAATTTCATGCGAATTTTTCAGAGTCAAAGCCAAAATTGCTTGGATCCACTCTCTCCCAATCTCCAGACACACGTGTAGGGGAACTGATAAACTCAAATGGTGGGTTCAAAGTTTTGGGTAGAGAAATTTTTCCCTCACATGTAAATAACATTGGCCTTCAAGAAAAGGGAAATTATGCAGCAACATTAGACTCCTTGAACAATCACATGAATAAGTGTCGTGATTCCGAAAGGGATCATGTTTTCTCCTGTGTTGTGTCTCATATGAGCTCTGCAAAGGCCTATGAATCGCCTAAAAGGACAAGGCATGATGCTTCAGGTCTTACAAATCTGAGTTTGGCTTGTTCACCTGATGCAAATTTTTTAAGTTTGTCTAGTTCTGGATTCGTGATGGAGGATCAGGTTAACAAGAAAAACAAAGTTTGCGAGACACCATCTACTCCGGATAGTAGGCTTCATGGCATCTTCAGCTGCGAAAGGTTACAGTTGCAAGATACAGTTATATCAACTGCAAATCCAGGGGTTCTTATAAATCATCAAATTAGTTGTTCAGAAAGTCAGCATTTGTGTAGCACCCCTAATAATCGAGTGATAAACATATCTTGTGACAATAGCAGCCCAGAGTCTCTACTGAGGAACTCAGCTATGAGTTACAAGAATACTCCTTCCATAATAAGAAAGAAAATCTTTGCATCAGGGAGCAGAGATGATAGAAACAATGGCTCAATGGAAATGAAAGGCAATTCCATTTGTGACAGATCAGCTGTTGGTAGATCTCTTGAAAGACACTTCGACAATGCCTCAGCCTGTGATGGGGAATTTGAATCTGCTGCACCTATCTCGTTGTCGCCACCGGCGGATATGTAGGAAATGTGATTTTGACGTTCTTACCCTGATACAATTTGGTGAGTGGTGGGATTATTTCAATTTCTCTTCTCTTATCTGGCTATAGTTCACTGCTGTCATCCACCGATTGATGGTGTTTTGAGCTGATTAAGTCGAAATCACCAATTCTGATTTATGATTTTGTTCTTCTGCCTAAGATAGTAGTTGAGTGAATCTGTATTATGGTTCCTGCAAATGACATTATTCTTCCTTTGCAGGAATTTATATGTCCATGCATTTTGTAGCACACTTGAAAATGAGATTCCTTTTCAAAACTGTGCTAATAAATCTCTTTGCCCGGATGAAGCGTTTGTCTTGCACACATGTGGGAAATCCCCAATAGTATATAAACCTACCCTGAGTATTTCGTGTGGTCTAATGAATCAACAGTGGAAGCATTGGACCCCTTCTCTTGTTCAAGGTGATAAGCTGCTGTCGCTGGGAAACAAATGTCTTTTCTTTTCTTTTTTTTTTTTTCTAAGGATCTTTGTTAAAACTTCTTGATGCTTCAAACATTTGACGTAAGATATGATCATCTGATAAATGACGTGGATAATTCATCAGTGGATGGGCATGTTGATCTTCCTTGCATTATGAACAATTTCAAGTTCATCTTATTTACTTATAGAGTGCCTTCGAATTTGGTTCTTCTGGGATAGTAGGACAAATGTTATAAGTGCAGCTAACTGCTGAATCATGTCATTTTGTTTGCCCATAAATGTAACATAGTTCGATAAATTTCATTTTTTTTCCCTACATGTTTTATTTTTTACAAATTTGATTATATGTATCAATCGTATAAAAAATTTTATATTAATTTCATTTTCGTGTCTTACTGATCTAAATGATGAAGAAAATAAACTTAGTGTCACCCTATTGTACAACGGTGACTCCAATTTCAGTTTGAAGGGCTTCAAAAAACATTGTTTAAGATCATATCCCTATTCCATAGCTCGGAACTAGCGCAAGCAACGTCTAAAACATTGTCTAATCATATGAATCAATCCTCGTCTTTTCGAGTATTCTCTAATTTCTCTAATCTCTACTTGTTCTTTTCAAACTAAAGCTATTAACTCTATGAATGATTCAGATTTAACCACAATAGTTTGATTTAATTGGTGTTTAGGCTATTTTCTTATCCTTTTTCTTATAGTTTTGGGTCACAATTTTCACGCAAAATAAATGTGGAAGGTTTTTTAGGTGATAAATAATTTTTTACTCCCTCCATTCTTTAGGTGTCATTCTACCCTTTGCACATAGTTTAAGAAACTCTTAAATAGGGAAATAAAATTACTTGAATATCTTCAACCAACCCCATTAAAAAAATATCCACCAATAATATTAATTCTTTCAAGGGTAATTTTGGAAACTTTTGACAAAAAGTGCATTGAAATGTGAGAACGACACTTATTTTGAAAATTTTCTATTTTGCTAAAACGACACTTAATTCGGAACGGAGGGAGTACTAAAACTTATGGAATCAATTGCTACATACTCCTTCTGTCCCAAAATTATTATTCAGTGTGTATTTTCAGTTTCAGTTTTAGTATAATTTGAAATAAAAATAAAAATTTAAATTGGATAATAATTTTAAAATGGGCGTATAAGTATGATAATATGTGTTAGTTGATTATTCCGCGTGTTGAATAAAAAATGAATAGTTGTTGTCAAAACTCATTATTTAATTTTTTATTATGACTTGGAGACGAATTAAGCTCTAACTTAGGTGGTCAAAATTGGGTTTCGTCTTCAAGTTCCAAAACCCTCTTCAAAAACCCTCCCCTCTGATTTTTTTCACCCTTCCTCTCTCATTTCTTCCTTCTTCATTACGTTAGTAATAGGAGCATAATAACAAGCATTACTGCAATTCAGACCTCACGAAAAGGGACATGGCTTTACGAGCTGCACTGAACAGATCTAAAACATGGAAATGGCTCTGGCCTCATCATCATCAGCTGGCAAAATGCAATTCCGGAAACATAGCCAAAAAGTTGACAACAAAAATTCCCATTTCAATAGCCTTCAATCAACGATGGATGCGTTGGGTGGAAACAGTATTGCGGTGACCGATGCCTTGGACGGATACGACATCTCGGAGGCTTTGGATAAGTATGTAGTATTGTCTCCGAGTTTCAGCAAGGTTAGATTAATTTTGGAATATTACAATTTTGTTCAGTACATGGGGAGATATTTACCATTCCCACTTCGTAGCAATGAATAGTTATTACAACAACATTAGTAGTCTAATTGGGCTTGGAAGCAGCCATCCTTTAGGTGGAAGTTAACAGGAATCTTTTATGTACTTGTAATTGAATATTTCCTCTTTAGATTATCAAATAAATAAATAAATAAGAATATCTTCCTTTTTCATCTATGGTTAGTGCATAGCATTCTGAATTTTCACTTGTGTTTTACTTTGAAGGGTTTCTAATAGTAAGTTTTATTTGTGTTGCAATATGTAACCAACTAACTAATTACGTAGGAAGCTAAAATGAATAACCAAAATATATTGTTTTGGATTTGAGAACCATTTCCCTTCAAATATAACCAAACAAAGCAAAGAGTTATTAGTGCGGTGAACACCCAATTTACTAACACTGATTAATCTTCCAAAATTCATAAGCACGTTATAAGTTTGCACTCTCCCAAATTTGTAAGTTTTTATCATAGTTCACTTGTAGGGTTGGTGGTGAATTAATACAATCTAACGTGATTTACAAAATTTGTATTTATAGTTTAACTTTTACAAATCTTTTTATATTTATATGATTCAAAAGATATCACTACGGGAGTACGGGTTGACCGCACCTTGTGCAAAAGATTCATTATCACTTTCAACTATACATAAGTCAAAACCCAACCTACGGCTACCAGTTCCACTCCCTTCACTATCTCTTTGCTCTGCATGTCTATCTCACCTCCAACTCACCAGGGAGCTATAAGACAAGGGAAAAGATTTTTGAAATAATCAAAGTGTGTTTTCTAAGGAAAAAGAGATGAGTGTACTCTACATATAATTACTTCCTTAACATGACTTCTTAGCTCCCTTCTCTTCATGACTTGAAAGCTAGAGAGTAATAAGTTTCCACCCAACTCTTCGCCTACTCGTATTCACTACTCTATTTGGAGTTGTGGGCTGACTGCTATTAATACCAAAAAATGGGGCTTACAATTAAACAGACCCTTTTGATCATTTACGTTTTGTAGTACTAACACTAATACAAAGAATAATTAAAGATGATGATACTCCTTTAACGACAAAGATGGGATGGAACACTGTGCATGCACATGCCCTGAGATGCTCAACCCGCACAAGTGGTCAAATAACTCCCTAATCAAATAGTCAGTTCCAAAATATTTATTATGTGTCTTATGCAAAAATTACACTTTCACGGAGGAAGAAGTATATTTGCATCAGCTTTCCTATCTAAATATTACTCTTTTTATTTAAAGAAAAACGTTACTTTGTTATATTTATTTAAAGAAAAAATTCAATTTGTTATATTATTGAATAATTTTTCTTGGACAGAAGAATATGGTGCAATTTAATCCCCTACAAAATTAAATGAAAACGGAAGGGATACTTTTTCAAAAGATTTAACTACCATTCCAAGAATGTGTGCTTGTTTGGACATCAACTTACATTTTATTTTGCCACTTAAAAGTGGAAAGTGTTTCAAATTGAAAACTAAATGGGAAATAAAAATGTTGTTTGGATGTTGGTTTTGAAAAAAAGTATTTTGAACTACATTTTGAAATATCAAGTACAAGTCATCACTAAACAATTAAATACTGTCAATTATAGTCACTGCAAAAAAAAAACTTTTCCAAAAACAATCACTCAACAACGGAATCCTGCCAAATTTGTCATTGAACTATTTGTAATTTTAAAATGGTCATTACGCTAACAAAAAAATGTTTCAAGTTGGAATTTAAAATATAAATCAGAAAGTTGCTTGAATGATGTTTTCTTTCCATTGGGTTTTGTGTTTAAGAGGTAAAATGAGTGAAAATGTAGAATAGAAGATTGTCCAAAACAACCTACGTTTTAATCTGAGGACCTGCAAAGCTCACTCTCCAAAACGGCTCTGTTGAACCATACAACCCACCAACCATCATCTCTTCTACATTGACCAACCTCCAAATAAAGATACTCACTAGAATAGTTACTGGCAGGCTGTTAAACGCCCTAAAAATCTCCCTTCAACGCCCTAAATAAATACCAAATGACCATTTTGCCCTTTACATGAATTTATAAATAAAGAGTTTCAATTTCATTCATTCAATTCCTAAATCAATCTTTCATTTCAAATTCTCTCAATCTAAATACCTAAAAATCTTTAATTTAATGGGGGATCGAGTTAAACGGCTACGAAATGAGCTACGCAAACTAAAGGTACGTAAATTTGAATTTGAATTGTTTTAAAGTTTATTTTGAAAAAAAAAAAAAAACTCCACTTGCCGGCGAGGAGAACAGCCGGGCAACGGAGCTGGCGCACGGATCTGCGCCGGCTCTGTGAGGGTGGCGCAAAATTTTCGCCACCCTCACAGAGCCGGGCGCAGACCGTGCGCCAGCTGCTTGCCCCGGCGGTTCTCCTCGCCGGCCGGGCAAATGAAGCGCTGGCTCTTCGCCACCGGAAGATGGGGTGGCGAAGAATATTCTCGCCAGCCGGTTGAGTTTAGCGAGAAAAACCCGCATTTTTTTTTTTTTTTTTTTGTTAATTAATTTATATTTATATTTATATTTAATTATTTAATTATTTAATTATTATTTAATTGTTACTATTAGTAAATGTTTGTCTTATGAAATTTAGTTTAATTATTTGTTATTAGTGAAATTAATTAGTTATTTTTATTAGTTTAATTTATTTTGGAATTCAATTGTAGTTTTAATTTAGTATAGGTTTAATCTTCAGTAAATAGAATAGTTATAATAATTTTATAGTTTTAGGAATTTAATTGTATTTTTAGGGAGTTTAACGGTTTGTAAATTAAATTGGATTATTATGAAAGTTATTATAATTAATATAATTATAGAAAATATATTTATTGGATTAGTCGGTATAATTAATATAATTAGGCTAAAAAATTAAATATTTACTATAGGAAAATTAAATAAATAAGTTATAATTAAAAAAATACAGGAGGTTAGTAGATAATTAAGGTTAATAAGAAATATTTATGTAGTTGTAAGAAAAAATAAATATGTAGATATTATTAATAAATTGAACACTTTAGATGTAGAGTAGAGAATATTATAATTACATATTTGAAGGAGTGTTCAAATGAAAAAATAAGGAGTGTTCAAATGAAAAAATAAGGAGTGTTCAAATAATTAATAAGGAGTGTTCAAAGTTATTATAATTAATATAATTATAGAAAATATATTTATTGGATTAGTCGGTATAATTAATATAATTAGGCTAAAAAATTAAATATTTACTATAGGAAAATTAAATAAATAAGTTATAATTAAAAAAATACAGGAGGTTAGTAGATAATTAGGGTTAATAAGAAATATTTATGTAGTTGTAAGAAAAAATAAATATGTAGATATTATTAATAAATTGAACACTTTAGATGTAGAGTAGATAATATTATAATTACATATTTGAATAATATAAAACTGTATTAAACTAATTAATCTAAGTTACGTGTAAAATTTGAAACTGTTGTAGGATGGGATATCGCCTCTTCAGGGATCTGGGCATCGGCATGCAGTTACGCGCAATCTGTATGCCGAACATCGAGCGTAAAAGAAAAAAGTTAAAGAAAGTGAAAATGTACATCCTACGTTTGGCCCATTGGTGAGTCACCAACGTAGACGA